AGAATCCCACTGTGCTTGAGGGCAGGCTCACCGTAGGCCTTTTCCTAAAGCAGAGGTGATGTGTCCTGGTCAACTAATGTCAACATCGCAACCAGGGTCGGAGAGCTGTCAAACACACTAACACACAACCTTTTCCATCTAACGCTAACGCAGTAAGAGTGTGTGATTATGTGCATGCCCAAAATGCCAAGTGCTCCCCTGGTCCTTCTCAATATTTGAAATACTTCCTCTATAGTGTTGCCTTACCTTGCCTATAAGGTAAACATGCAACATGCAAGTGTGTAAATTTGTGTGTATGCTCTTTTCTTACCAATTATTCCTCCTGATGCTGTGAACTGATAATATTAATTTCACCTGTATTTATTATCAGTATTCAAAGGTTTCACATTATTATGCGACATTTGACAAAAAATAATATTAATAAATATAACAATGATACAAATGAGGCTCTATTACACAAGTCAGGCAACATGCAGGTTTGCTTATTAGAGTAATAGATTGTTTCATGTTTTCACCTGGTTCAAGTTTGGGTTCATGATCACCATGTTGCTTACAATTGCTTCCCACTATTAAAAAAAGAATATCTTTAAATAAATCAACTTAGGGGATTAGGGAGGCAGCATGATGACAGAAAGCAGATCTGTAACACAAATGCAGTATCAACAATACATAGTCTAAATTCAGAGACAATGACTTGGATATGGATTCCATATGGATCACACTGTGTCCAATACTCCTATCTGTTAGTGGCACGTCTTTATGGGTTGCCATAAAATGTGGTTTATACCTTCATATTTCTCTCAGGATGAATTTTAATAACTTTTGAGATCCCTTAACCTTTCATATTATCACCATCAGGTCAATTTGTGCTTATGGCCAAAACAAACGACATTCCCATCAGCCGAAAAAGGAGTTAGTGCTAATGTTACCAATATTGACGTGCTAAACTAATGGTGAATCTGTTAAACACTAGCAGTTAGCTTAAGCTTAAATTGTCTCGGAGAGTTGCTAGAAAGGCTTTGGAGTTTAAATCACTATTTTGTTGTATGAAAGTAGCAACTTTATTTACAGTATAGCCTATCATGTGGACAGGCTCTCTACCTCTAGTTAGTAGTTTGGGTATACATTCTGATAAACATATTTTGCTAAACATGCCATGAATATGTGTCGAGCTTCATCCGTCAGCCTACAGTAGAATAAGGCAGGGGTACTCACACACACACACACACACACACACACACAGTAAATTACTTAGAAGACACATCAGACAGTGCAGATAGCATGCGATGAAGGCATATAGGTGTTGGAGCGTGAAGGGTTTTCCCTGCTAATACGGATATAATGATGTGACTATATCAGCGTCACTGTGTGAGACTGTAACAGTTGTTTTGTTGATCTACTAGACAATTCTCTGTGACTCACAACTCATGAAAGAGAGGGTTAAAGATAGATAGAGGTAACAAGAGATAGAGGTTGATAAACAAGAGGAGACAACAGCTAGTGTGTTGTTTTGACTGCGCTGAGAGGGAAGTGAAGCCGACAGTAAGTTGGCCTACATTCACGTAGCTTTATGTGTGAGGGGGAACAGAGAGATGTCCCTGTGTCCATCTGATTATTTGTCCCCAGAGAGAGAGAGTGTGTAATGTCATTAGGTGTGTTTGTGTGGGTACATATTCCGTGGATACTGTGCATGATGCATAATCCAGATCAGTGGTTCCCAACCAGGGGTACCCCAGGGGGAACTGCAGTTACCAGGGTATACGTGAAAAAGTTGTATAGAGTAGCTCAGCTAATTTTAAAACATAGAAATAAACATATGTATGCCACCTGTGGCGAAAGTAAAGTAATAGATAAATGACTGAAATAGATACAGTAGCAACAAGTAATGTATAGATGGTTAAATAGTTGAATCAAACTGAAACACAAGAAAGAAAATGACTACATTAATTGAGTTAGCTAAGAGTAAAGCATAAATAGAAATAGTTGGCATTAAATATATCAGATAAATGTATGAAAAGGTTGAAATAAAACTAAAACTCATGGATAAATGGTTGAAAAGTCCCGCTCTGTCACTCCAAATGGTAGTAGTAGTAGTTCAAATGCAATTGACCAAACTGACCAAACATTAGTTAAATTGTATGAAAACAATATTACTTTAAATAAAAATGTTAATGTATATAAAATCCAGTTTAAAAGGGATGTACTTGAGTTCAACTGACAGGGCTGTGGGGGTATGTCAGACAAAAAAAGTTGTGATGTACAGTGTGTGTGTGTGTGTGTGTGTGTGTGTGTGTGTGTGTGAGAGTGAGTGTGTGTGTGTACATCAGCGTCCAGATGAGACAATGTCACTCTCTTTTTTTCCAAGGTGACATACTAGATAACATTTTCACTTTCAGACTCTAAAAGTGGTATTAATCTCCATCAAATGTCCCAAAAGACACACACACACACACACACACACACACACACACACACACACATCCATGCGCACATTCACAGAACATATCACAGCACAGTTGTCTCTGGCATTTCAGTGATTTAGAGCGTCATCCCTGGTTGCCACTAGCTTGAAGCTGTGATCTTCACATATATGACACCTCAGCTCAACAAGGTCCATACGAACACACAAACACTCAACACACACACACACACACAAACACACACACTGAATGGATGTCTCTGCTTTGCCTCTCCTGCCGTCACATTCTCACTTCCTGATTTAGACAGACAGAGACCAATCCTTTGGGACACAGACACACTTCTCTCTTTCGCTCCCTTGCTCCTTCCTCCATTCCTCCCCTTTTCTTAATCCGCTGCTCCCTCTCGTGGGGATGGAGAGAGGCGGGGCCGGAGGTTAGACAGATGGAGGCGGGTGGTACACCGATACACAGTCAGTCTCAGGTTTGCTCCTGCGGGAATGGTGTGATGGAGAGGAGAAGAGAAGAGAGAAGTAGAGGGGAAAACATGAAAGTCTCACTCGCTCACTTTTTTTTTTACCAGTCATGAGAAGACAGAGAGGCCAGGCTTGTTATGAACAAAAATATAACAAGACATGTAGAATCTTTAAACACATTATTGGTCATAGCTTGATATTGGTTCATATACTGTATATTCAATATCAACCATCAAATGGAAAGGACTTTGAAATGAATGGCTGCTGCTTGATTTGAATCAACATGTTTTCATCACTTCTGTTACTCTACGGAAGAGGATAGGCATGTTGCAAGCATTATTCCCAGTGGCTTTCTATTTGTGCCACTACCTGCTACTGTAAAAACTCTGCAAGCTGTAGCCAATTCTGAAAGAACAACCACGCTCAAAGCGTAGACCCACCACATAAAAAAACAAAAATACTCTCCACAAATTTAATTGGCACTCTTATCCATCTCTTATTTTCCTATATTTTATTCAGTGGGCTACTTTTTTTATTGAATGTTCTTTATTGTCTTTTATCTTTTTTTATTTGATAGGTGGTGTATAAGGCTAGCTTCCTCTTTATCACATTGTTTTTAGTTTGTGCAAATAATAACATAATTATATATTAAATAATTAAATGATTCGTTTTTTATATTAGATGTATTCATTTATTTAGCCAAGAAATCATGGGATTAGAAAAAAACTCTTCTTGAAGAGTGTCCTGGCCAACAAGTTGAAGACAAACAACATAAAACAGATCACACAAAATATATCACAAATCAAAATTGCAATGAGAAAATCATCAGAATACATTCAGGTAAAATATTTAATCCTAAAAACACCCTGAACAGCATCTTAAAACCATAAAAATAAATAAGACCAAACTAAAAAGAGAGACCAAAGTTTGCTATTTTAGATCTAAATGGTGTATTGCACACTTATAGATTATTACACAATTTGTTAAACACATGGGGTCGAGAGTGAGAAAAAAAGCTGAGATACATGACTGACGCACTAGAAAAAGCCTAAAGTCTGGAGCTGCAGAAATAACAGTACATGAAATCGCTGGTGTAGAAAAAATAATAGTACACAAAATAACTGGTGTAGGCTACTGTGATACACTGGACCCTCTATTTCCTACCTGGGTCAAGAGAGACAGAGACAGAGAGAAAGTTGACTTCTAGAGTGCTGTGAGGTTTCTGCTTGTTTCTACTGTCACTTCTGTCAACAGCCGCTTTAGGTCACTGAGAGGCTACCGCTCCATCTACCTGTGTTTTAGCACATCACATGCCGCACTGCACCCAGCACACATACACACAAATACACACACTCAATGGGAGAGTCTACTGGTTGAGGCAGATCAAGGCGCTGCACAGGAAACTGAGATTTGTTTATATGGACTGAGTGACCTGGCAAAGGTTGTCAATTAAAGGATGGAAGACAAGGAGAAGGAGACAGGAGGAAGAGGTCTCTGAAGCCTTCTTGTGAAGAGGTAAAAAATAAAAGGTAAATAATAGATCCTGGAGATGAATTATTGAAGGAGTACATTGATGCTTTCATGTCGGGGAGCTGACTTTACATTCCTGGGTTCATTCATGAAAAAACTTACAGTATATGTAGGAGAGATGAAAGGAAGATGAGAGGGAAAGGAATAAAGAGGATGTTGTTGCCATGTCAGGTTTCAGTTGAGAGTTTGCTGCAACACACCACCACCACCACCACACTCACAGACATTGGTTCTCGGACAAAACTCATTGGTACATTGTCTTCTTAGTATCTTAGCTTCATATTTATGTAATTTTATCATTTCAAAATAATGGGAACAACAGTTTATTCTCAAAAAATGTATATATTCTTTCTGTCTGGAAAGGAAATTAACTTTCATGTCATGTTGCTAGACTTATATTATCTCTTTTTTACTATCCTTCTACTCATATCTGTGTATTGATCTGTGATTATTCTCTTCATATTTGATCTATTTTCTAGTTATATTATATGTAATGCAACCTCTGTATTCTACATATGTTCTATGTGCTGCTGCATTCCTGCACATGGTACGTGTTGCACTTTAATGGCGTGATGAGAAAGAAAAACTTTGATTATATACACGACACTCTGTGAGTCAAACTGAAACACTTGCTTCTGGCCGACCACATAGAAACAGGACACTGGACACAGACAGGACATTGCAGCCCCCTCCCACACACAAACAAACAGTCTTCCTTTTGGGTGCCCTATAATGCCAGATCCTTTTGAGCTGACAGGGGACAGAACAGTCTACATCGACATAGGTCTACTCTCTTTTACTGCAGACAAACACAGACACACACACTCATGCCCTGCTGTTGTACAGTAGACAGCTCCAGATATGCCAGGGCTGGACATGCCCAAAAGGCAGAGCCTGTTCCCTGTCACCTATCAGCTGGTGGCAGACAGCGGGATGTGTGTGACTGTGTGTTAGTATTGGGCCTTTTCTGTTTTTTTTCGTTTTACATTTTCTTCAACTGTAATCTCACTTTTGAATCTTTCTTTCCAGTAATAGCATAAGAGTGTGTACAGAACTCCACATCCACTAAACTGTATATCAGATTTATTTCATAGGCTATAAATTTAGGTTTTTGTGGTTAAAAGAAATACTCCCACTGGGGCATTCTCATGTCCTAGTGGTTATGACCTACACCAAATAACCATGGCCAATTCCTGTCAATTGTAACATGCCATACCCATCTTTCCTGTCTGTGTTTATACCGTCAACTAAGATGACTAACGACCAATAAAGAGTCTGTTAGAGGTCGAAACACAAAATCTGCTTTGCAAACTGTCAAGACATGTTGTCACACGTGACAAAATAAAAATTCCACATGCTTAGCATGCCTTCATTTATAGACAAAGTTGATTTTCTTTTTATTAAAATGCAAAAAAAATAGGTTTAACAGTAATTTGACATGTCAGATATCAGCTATAGTTTAATCAAATAGTAGGAAGCATTTGATATCATTTCTTAGAGTTTTTAAGATACAGCCATTTCTGTATTGGACCAAGAAAAAGCAACAGATTGTCATTTTCCTTTCTGAATCTATATCGTAACAATCCAGAATATGTGTGTATCAAAAATGATGAAGATGAAATTCCCAACCTATAGTTCTAGAGGTGTTTTCTTGGAAAATAAAATTCCACTGTGGACATAAATGGTTAGACTCAAGAAAGAGGACCAAAAGCTTTTGCACATCTTCCTAACCTAGATGAAATTCTGCATTACTACACACCATCAGTCTAACAGTCAGTAAGTAAACTTGTGGATTTAGTGTTGGGGGTACTAACATGTCACAGGACATGCCAGGGAGGAATAAAGGAGACACGAGGAGGCAGCAGCCTACCCAGGACTGCTGGCACGGCAGCCAGGGGTGGGGCCAAGACAGCATGGCACATGTCGACCTCAGACCCCCCTCCTCCTCCCCTTTCCCCACGGGCTCTGACAGGCGGCACGGGAACCCTTTGGCCCAGTGAGGGGTGGACAGCCATCTGACAACTCCCCACCTGCATGACCTTTACCATGCTTGACCCCCTGCAGGAGACAATCACCTCATAGCAAACAGCCCCACGGGAGATGTAGACACACAGCACAGTCAGGAAGACACACAAATAGACATGCATAATGCACACACAGATTGACAGAAAGTTAGATGGAGGGACAGTAAGTCAGACTGTGGCATGCATAGTCGCTTGTGATGAGTCATTCAAATCTGGCTAGCTGCTTTCCAACAACAAAGGGGCTCTCGCTTAAATAACATCCCAACTTTATGAACATAACAACAGTGTTCAGCCATTGAGTTGACAGGATAGTCTATGGATACGCTTAGGTTTGAATAAACCATCTTAATTTGGTGTAAAAAAGCCACTCAGCTTTGTAAGCAGTGCCACTAATAAGGCCTCATGGAGCAAATATGATAGATCAGTCCAGTTTCAGTCAGTTTCTTCTGCAGTTCTCAAAACTCTGTGTATTGGTCAGTGGACATTTTAAGTTTCAGATTTCTAGAGAAAGCTGATAGTGTCAAATTTGAGTAGTCTGATTTGGTAAAGCTGTAAACATAACCAGACCTTCAACAAATGACAATTACATTTTTGGGACTGGACAATAACAATTAGCCTATATGAAACAGTAAAGAAAATAAGACTACACATTGCAATACATTGTTTTTATACTTAATAGATGTTGTATTTGTAAGGTTGTTTTTCTGGTCTGTAGATTCTTTTTTTTAATTCAATAGACAAGTCACATTTGCACAAACTGATCTCTGTTAAAAAATATTGCAGTGTGAACAAAAAAGCTCAACTGGGCAACCTCCATCTGCTGATGAAGATCATGCGACATGACCAAAAGCTCCAGAGCAGCTCGACTACTCAATAGACCCAGAGGTAATACTTTTTCATCACAAATAATGTATAATTAAATATATATATATAATTATTAATATTATGTACCAGTAGGAGTAATATTAATAATAATAATAATTATATATATATATTATTAATATTAATATTATGTACCATTAGGAGTAATATTAATAATAATAATTATATATATATTATTAATATTAATATTATGTACCAGTAGGAGTAATATTAATAATAATTAATATATATATATTATTAATATTAATATTATGTACCAGTAGAAGTAATATTAATAATAATAAATATATATATATTATTAATATTAATATTATGTACCAGTAGGAGTAATATTAATAATAATAATAAATATATATATATATATATATATTATTAATATTATGTACCAGTAGGAGTAATAATATTAATAATAATAAATATATATATATTATTATTAATAATATTATGTACCAGTAGAAGTAATATTAATAATAATAAATAATATATTATTATTATTATTATTAATATTATGTACCAGTAGAAGTAATATTATTAATAATAAATATATATAAATGTATTATTAATATTAATATTATGTACCAGTAGGAGTAATATTATTAATAATAATAAATATATATTATTATTATTATTATTATTAATATTATGTACCAGTAGAAGTAATATTATTATTAATAATAAACATATATATATTATTAATATGAATATTATGTACCAGTAGAAGTAATATTATTATTAATAATAAACATATATATATTATTAATATTAATATTATGTACCAGTAGGAGTAATATTAATATTATTAATAATAAAAAACATATCTATATTATTAATATTAATATTATGTACCAGTAGAAGTAATATTAATAATAATAAATATATATGTATTATTAATATTAATATTATGTACCAGTAGGAGTAATATTAATATTATTAATAATAATAAATATATATATATATTATTATTATTATTATGTACCAGTAGGAGTAATATTATTAATAATAATAAATATATATATATTATTAATATTAATATTATGTACCAGTAGGAGTAATATTATTATTATTAATAATAATAAACATATATATATTATTAATATTAATATTATGTACCAGTAGGAGTAATATTAATATTATTAATAATAATAAATATATATATATTATTAATATTAATATTATGTACCAGTAGGAGTAATATTAATATTATTAATAATAATAAATATATATATATATTATTAATATTAATATTATGTACCAGTAGGAGTAATATTATTAACAATAATAAATATATATATATTATTAATATTAATATTATGTACCAGTAGGAGTAATATTAATATTATTAATAATAATAAATATATATGTATTATTAATATTAATATTATGTACCAGTAGAAGTAATATTATTATTAATAATAAACATATATATATTATTAATATTAATATTATGTACCAGTAGGAGTAATATTAATATTATTAATAATAATAAATATATATGTATTATTAATATTAATATTATGTACCAGTAGAAGTAATATTATTATTAATAATAAACATATATATATATTATTAATATTAATATTATGTACCAGTAGAAGTAATATTATTATTAATAATAAACATATATATATTATTAATATTAATATTATGTACCAGTAGGAGTAATATTAATATTATTAATAATAATAAACATATATATATTATTAATATTAATATTATGTACCAGTAGAAGTAATATTAATAATAATAAATATATATGTATTATTAATATTAATATTATGTACCAGTAGGAGTAATATTAATATTATTAATAATAATAAATATATATATATATCATTATTATTAATATTATGTACCAGTAGGAGTAATATTATTAATAATAATAAATATATATATATTATTAATATTAATATTATGTACCAGTAGGAGTAATATTATTATTATTAATAATAATAAACATATATATATTATTAATATTAATATTATGTACCAGTAGGAGTAATATTAATATTATTAATAATAATAAATATATATATATTATTAATATTAATATTATGTACCAGTAGAAGTAATATTAATATTATTAATAATAATAAATATATATATATTATTAATATTAATATTATGTACCAGTTAGAAGTAATATTATTATTAATAATAAACATGTATATTATTAATATTAATATTATGTACCAGTAGGAGTAATATTAATATTATTAATAATAATAAATATATATGTATTATTAATATTAATATTATGTACCAGTAGGAGTAATATTAATATTATTAATAATAATAAATATATATATATTATTAATATTAATATTATGTACCAGTAGAAGTAATATTAATATTATTAATAATAATAAATATATATGTATTATTAATATTAATATTATGTACCAGTAGGAGTAATATTAATATTATTAATAATAATAAATATATATATATTATTAATATTAATATTATGTACCAGTAGAAGTAATATTATTATTAATAATAAACATGTATATTATTAATATTAATATTATGTACCAGTAGGAGTAATATTAATATTATTAATAATAATAAATATATATGTATTATTAATATTAATATTATGTACCAGTAGAAGTAATATTAATATTATTAATAATAATAAATATATATATATTATTAATATTAATATTATGTACCAGTAGAAGTAATATTATTATTAATAATAAACATGTATATTATTAATATTAATATTATGTACCAGTAGGAGTAATATTAATATTATTAATAATAATAAATATATATGTATTATTAATATTAATATTATGTACCAGTAGGAGTAATATTAATATTATTAATAATAATAAATATATATATATTATTAATATTAATATTATGTACCAGTAGAAGTAATATTAATATTATTAATAATAATAAATATATATGTATTATTAATATTAATATTATGTACCAGTAGGAGTAATAGTAATATTATTAATAATAATAAACATATATATATTATTAATATTAATATTATGTACCAGTAGAAGTAATATTAATATTATTAATAATAATAAATATATATGTATTATTAATATTAATATTATGTACCAGTAGGAGTAATATTAATATTATTAATAATAATAAATATATATATATTATTAATATTAATATTATGTACCAGTAGAAGTTGAACTGTCGCGGCTGCCACTTCAGGTCGCCTATACGTCATCAGAAAGCGACATGGCAGCTTGATTTCCACACACGTAAATCGTCGGTGCTGGTGCTAATGCTGGGTGGTCAGTACAGTTTGTGGGGTTAACGTTGAATGAAGTTTGTCATATTGACATTAATATTGATATATTGATATACTGCTAGCGAAGCCGCAAAGTAATTAGTCGCTACGTAAAGCACGCAGCTAACGTTATGTGTTCGTAGCTAACATTAGCACCTGAAGCTACCAAATTCACTTTGAGACAGTAACGTAACGAATGATGACTTCCTCTTACTGACACTATTATCGTTTGTCTAATTCTCAGGTTATCTCTTTTGTACCTGAGACCTCACACTTTTCCTTTCTGGTACAACATCGTACTTCCACTTCATCCGATAATGAATCCATTAGTTAGACGCAGACTTCCTCCGTCTGTGAGGAGTCTTCTGACTGACATCGGTCCAAAGGAGGAGTGGACAGACACAGAGCCCGACACAGTGACCAGAGATGGGATTCTGCTCCCCGGCAGAGGGGCTGCTTCTGGACAAGAGTTTCTCACGGCAGCCAAGACCCAAGAGGAAGAGGCTACAGTGGACGGTGGTAACGCCAGGAGGAGTGCAGTCTGCATGTTGTGTAAATGTAAGCCCTCTTGTTACACCTGCCCTCGCTGTAACCTGCATTACTGTGGCTTGGCTTGCTACCAGAGCCCAGATCACTCAATGTGCTCCGAGGAGTTTTACAAGGAGTCAGTTCTGCAGGAGCTGAAGGATATGGGGAAAACGGAAAGCGAGGGGAGAAAGAAAATGCAGGAGGTTCTCGTGGGACTCAGGCACAAGGCGGAAAGGACAGACGGGGGGATGGAAAGTTTGTTAAAGGAAGCAGGAATTGTGTCGGATGCCACAGACGAGAGGGAAGAAGAGGAATCCGAGAAAGTGCAGGTTGTGGAACTCTTGTCCAGGTTAGCAGAGCTTCAAGAGTCAGGTGAAGAGAGTGCAACAGAGATTGAGGCTATTTTGAGAAAGCTTGAGGAGATTGGAGGAGGGGAGCCACTGACGGGAGACATAGAAGAGGATGCTGAAAGCGCAGAAGGGGAGCCGGACTTGGCTGATCGGCTCTCAGGGCTGGATATTGACAAACTCTCAGAGGAGGAGCTGTGGGAACTTCTCAGCAATAAAGAGAAAGAGGTGTTTACGGGTATGATGAAGGGCGGAGCTCTCGGTGGGCTTGTCCCCCTGTGGAAGCCGTGGTGGGAGGAGCACGAGGTGGGAGGGAGAGCACTGGTGGAGGTGCTTGAAGAGGAAGTGGGCAAACTGGAGAGAGAAAATACAACATCTGTGGATGAACTGGACGTTGATGATAAATATAAGACATTACAGGAAGTGGTTCAGGATCAGCACAAATCAGCTACACAACTGAGAAAGATTAAAGGGGGAAACAAAACTGAAACAAGGACGGCCAAGGGAGGTTCAACAGTTCCCAGTGTCCCTCCAGTTTCTGCAAAAATCCCAAAGTTGAGTTCCTTATGTGCAAATCCATCTCCCCTGGTATGCTTCAGTTTAGTCAATGCACTTTATGGCTACACTTTCACCCTGTGCCTGTTAAACAATGACACTGATTCACTGATGTTTGAGTTCTGTGACATGATTCTCGCTCTGTCCGAGGCTCTGAACTCAAGCAGGGTGTTCTCCACAGTCCAAGAAGCCTTAGACTGTGGAGAAACTCTCATGTTGGGTGGAGGTTATCTTGACAAGGAGGATCCCCTCGCCCCAGCCAGGGCGGTGGAAGCCGTGGCTCACATCGTGACCGGCAGAGACAGAGGGGATGCTACGGGATACTGCTTGGCAGCCTTGAGCCAGCTTCGCTCAGTGCTTTCCCGGGCCAGAACCGCCCTGTCAAAGGAGGGAGAGGAAGGGGCGAGGAGACAGAAGTACTTCCTGGCAAGCAAGAAGTGTGAATTCTTTCAAGCTTGGGTGTTGGACAATGCACACCAGATTCGAACACTTGCTATTGAGCTGTGGAACGAACACAGTAAAAGAGAGAGCGTAAGGAGCAGCATGGAGAAAGCAAAAACTGTGGTTGAGGAGAACTTGAAGATAAGGAAGAGCAAAGGGAATAGCAAGTTAATTGAAGAACTGAGCTAATGATGTCATTCTTGAATATGTTGTTTGTAAAAGTTTATAATGTAATAAAAATATATGAAAGCCTAAATGATCTTCTCTGACTGTGAAATTCAACCACTAAGCTGTCATTACTAGTCTGTTCTTGTTAAACACTGTTCAGGATGAGCTTAGCAATGTGAATAAAGTTTTATAATTTAAAAAGAATTAGACTTGTTGGACATGAACTGTGCGTGGCCTTTAAAGAGTCGGACAGTTTCCATCAGACTTCAAAGAATATGACAGGAAGCACAGAAATGTTTACATCCTGTTATCTTTAGGCTACCTGTAGATTTGCAGACCATGATCGGATTTATAATTGAACTGTTATTATCAGGGTGCGAACTACAATAAGACGCGAGCCCATGTTGTCAGTAATGTGTGTTAGTATTAAAATGCCAGAAGAAAATGAAGTTTCCTAGTCATTGCACAACATGTTAAATCTGGAGTTAAACATTAAAACCAGACAGAAAAGTAGTAAAACTAAAAGCCAATCAGCTCATTGATCAGACAACAGCCCATCTCAAAACGAGCCTGACAGTTTATCAAATAAAAACTTAACTCAAGGTCCACTTACACTTTCTTTGGGCTCTCAGAACCACACCACGGGGGGTTTTAAAGGGTGACGTAGAGATGTCATCACTCAGTTTTCATTCTCCATGGCAACAGAGAAAAGTGTGTGGAGGAGGTCAAAGTGGAGCTACTGTTTCTAATTGTTTATAGTGTGTACCGCAAAACCTACAGACCCGTTCACAGCATCGACACACACGAGACGGTGCACAACGCGTACTGAAAGAAGTCTCGCGCTCGGTCTGTGCTCTCGCGTTGCAGTGGTTGAGCAGGCACGTGTGCGGACGTCCTTCCAGTGTCTGTGTAAGACACATGAAACATGGCTGCGCTCTTGAGATCAGCACGGTTACTTAAGTTCTCGCCTTCAGGCTTGCTTCAGGTCGCAGGGACCAAAAGAAGCGGACCGCCGCTCGGTCGGCTGTACAGCGGAGCTCCCTACGGCAGCCGGACCGGACTCTTCACCCGACACATCGGCCCTGCGCCACAAAATGCGTTCAGGTATCCGCCGCAGTTAGCCGGTGTAGCGTGAAGCACAGATGTCATTGAGGCTCAGTGACAACCAGACACACACACACACACACACACACACACACACACACACACACACACACACTCACACACACTAGTGTTAACCGCGCTGTGTCGACACAAGAAGGATTAATGTGAGACTAGGTTGCCTCCAGTAGCTAACGTTAGCTGCCTGGTTAGCTAAACATGGCTCCCGTTTCTCACAAGGTGACGATCATACATCATGTAACCCGGTCATGGTCACAGTGTGTTCCTCTACTCGTGATTAAGTCAATTATTGTAACTTAATTCATAATAATAGTGTTACTGTCAGTGTTCAGTGCTGTCGTCCTCTGTTTATTCCTCTATTTTCTATTAGCTTAGCTGTATGCTAGCCGTTAGCTATACGCTAACCCACCAGTCTAGGCCATCGATGTTGTCATACTGCAGCTAATTCACTAAAGCTACTGTCAGATTTGGCGTGTAGTATTTTATCCGGAGTTAGAAGATAAACACTGACCTCAGCTGATGTCAAAGAGGATGCTAACATTACATGCTGAGGCTTTTTCTCTCAAGGTCATCGCCCTCGACAGAACTAGCATCCACAGATGTTTCTGTGTTTCTGCCTCTTGAACATGTGTGCAGTCCTGCACATCCTGTGGTATTCACACAGTTTACTCACAGAAGAATCATGTTTATCTGTCTGTGCTTATCCCCCAATTCTGAATGTTCATAATCTCTTTCCTTTAACTCCCTCCATCCATCTCTGCCCCCCCCCCCTACTGTCACCATTGACTCCTCCACAGTCGTGTGTTACCATATGCCGTGGGGTGTGTGCGTAACTGTGCTGTGGCCAAAGAGCAGCATTATGACGTCAGCATGTCGGTGCAGTCCAAGCAGGCACAGGATTTTGAGAGCGCTCTGTCCAAGCTGGACAACTCTGTGAGGAGAACCGGTCGCATAACCAAGACCCTGCTCCTCAAAGTTTTCAAAGATATCTGCAGAACAGGTAGGAGGGCAGAAGAAGAGTCAGAGGTTTTTAATGTAGAGTATCAGATGATGGTGGAGAGCAACATGAAGCTGTACTGAACTGAGCAGTTTGTTTTTCTTGTTAGACCAAATGGCTCTTGGCTTTTGGTATATTTCTTTCTCTTCATCCACCCTTACCTATGTCTCTGTGCAGATCATCCCAGTGCTAGCCAGGCCTTGTTGCTGTTGCGTAGCTGTGGGTCCCTGCTGCCGGAGTTGCCCCAGGCTGAGCGCACTGAGCTGGCACACAGTATATGGGAAAAGCTGCAGAAGTTGGGTAAGAGGGCACACCAGTGGTAACAACCTAACCAGCTTATTATCCACAGTACTATCTTGCTGTTGCTGCTGCTGAACTTCAAAGTATTTTACTATTGTTTCAAATATTTACACTATCAGAGGATCATTTGGATCATATTATTAGACTGGGACTGAATTGGTGACTGTATAGTGTGTATCATCATCATGGATTTTTATCATATGTTACATACAAAAGGTTTATAAGAGTTACCAGTAGTTCTGTACTGTATTTAAATGAGAATGTTCTTGGTATGACTGTATGTTGTAGATATTATAGAAATGCTGATTGTCCTCTCCAGGTGCAACGTATGATATTAGTCACTACAACGCCTTGCTGAAGGTTTACCTGCAAAATGAGTTCAAGTTCTCCCCCTTTGACTTCCTGGCCAAGATGGAAGAAGCTGACGTTAAGCCCAACAGAGTAAGCATTGCAGTGCAGGGTACAATAAGGGCAGGAAACAAATAGTTGGATTTCGGTTTGTTTTTTCCTTTTCCTGTTTGATTTCCTTATATTTTGTGCACAGGTTACCTACCAGAGACTAATAGCAGCCTACTGCCAATATGGAGATATTGATGGAGCCAGGTGAGTAAGCTTTCTTCTCAGCTCATTACCATTAACCAGCAACAGAGTTCATGTTCTGACAGGGAGCTCTGCTACTTGACAGATGGTTGTAAAACAGCATCGCTGTTTGAGTCGAGCTTATATGGTGTTAGGCTATGCTTGTATGTTAGGAGATGTGTTGATCATAACAGCTCCAGTACCTACTATATGTCATTTCAATCAAAGATAAGATGTAACTCACTTTAACTTTTCTTTTCCTCTGTGTTCTTAGCACCATTTTGGGTGTCATGAAGAACAAAGATTTACCCATCACCGAGGCTGTTTTCAGCTCCCTGATTATGGGCCACACTCGTGCAGGGTGAGCATCACTGCTTTTGTTCTTGCAGCATACTGTATTTATTGGCACAAATAACTGTTGTTGTTGAAATAACCAGATCATTTAAACCAGCCGTCCTCTGTCACCTGTGTAGGGACATTAACAGTGCTAAGAACATCCTAAATGTGATGAATGAAACAGGAATCTCACCTAGTCCTGATACTTATGTATCACTGCTTAACGCCTACGCTGAGACGGGAGATCTGACAAGTCTGAAAGAGGTGTGTGCGTTTATTCAGTTGGTTGTCAAGATGATGCTGATTCACATGGTTTCCTTTTTAATGACTCTTTTAATCTTTACTTTACCCCCCTTCTCATCCCCTCCTCTCTTCCTTTTTACTCTCTTCCATTCATACCTTGTGTTCCTCCCAACCATGCTTCATTTCTTTTCCCTTTTTTCTTTCCCTGCCTCCCAAACTCACTCCCCATTTTCTCTCTCTCTCTCTCTCTCTCTCTCTCTCTCTCTCTCTCTCTCTCTCTCTCTCTCTCTCTCTCTCTCTCTCTGTCTGTCTCTGTGTCAGACTCTGGAGAAAACACACACTCTGATGGACAGGGACATCCTGCAGATCATCTTCACTCTGGCCAAGGCTGGACACCATCAGTTTGTCCCAGAGATGATTAAATGCTTGAAGCTTGAGAGGGGTTATATTCCAGGTATGCATGCACACACCCCTCATGTTTTTCCACATCACTTCAGAAGTCTTCAGCAGCTAAAGTAATGTCATTCAAAAGAATGGGATAATTAGTCTCTGTGTCTTCAAAAAAACACCCCAACAACTTAAGAGCTTAACAACACAAAAAGGTATTAAAAGTTATGTTGTTTAATTTGGAAGTTATGATACAGATCGTAATTTCATAGCTGTGATTTTTACTTTACTGTCACATAGGGAGAATACACACTAGAGTTTCAAACAGCTATTGCTGTGGCTTCTACTATAATGTAAAGCCAAACTGTTGTATGCCTTGAGTAATACGCATTACATAAAAAACATAGAAACAATGCTTTTTTTGTATGAATGTAATGTGTTGTAAACTGCAGTATGTTTGCTAATAGTCAGGTAATGTTTGCTATATGTGAGAAAAGGCTAAAAAACCAGATGGCTAGTTTATTGAACTGCTGACCAATCAGCTGCGTTTGTTATTGTCTTGACAGATGCCATGAACGTGTGTCTGAACCTCACCACCCAGGGCATGGACAACGTAGCCTTTAGCATCCTGGAGACTTTCCACACAATGCAGTTAAATAACTACGACTCCAGCCAACCCAGCTGTGGCAACTTCTTTATCAGGCACTGTGTCAACATTGACATGGTACATGGACAAACAAATTTCACCCAACCTTATTTCACAGACACAACCCGTGTCTGAATTCCTGCAGTATTTCAAAGAGTTGATACCTGTCAGCATTTGACTGTTTTAATTGTAAGACATAGTTGCAGTGTGTGTTGAGCATTCATTTCGATGTTTAAATCTAATTTTTGATTTCTTTGTACAGCCATTGGAGAAGCTGGCCCACTACTGCAAATTGCTCCAGGAGTCGCATATGCATGATACACCATTAAACTTCGCTCTTTCCTGTGTGCTGGAAAACAAGAAGACTGGTACAGCACATACTGTCATTTTCTTGCATTTAGAGAGACCTTTACATCCACTTGCACACAGATTTGTCCTTATTCACTAATTCTATACACACACTCATCTACGTGCATGTGGTCAATCATGAATCAAATATCAAGGCATTAACCTGAGCAGTGATATTTAGCTGCAAATTACTGATGGCAACCGGAATAGTCAATGAACTGAATTATGTTTTTTTTTTTTTTTTTTTTTTTTTACAGGTATGGCTATAGAGCTGATGAAGATAATGAAGAAGCAAGACTTACCCATAAGGCCTCACTACTTTTGGCCCCTACTCACTCAGCATATGAAAGATGCGAACACAGCTGGTACACATTCACACACTCTCACACACACACACACACACACACACACACACACACACACACACACACACACCTTTTAATTTATATCTATAACCAAACCATAACACATTTTTTACTCATCAGGTTTTGAATTAATTGCTACATGTATACTGTACATCCTGTGCTTAAGGTACCTCCTAGCCAGTAGCTAAGCTGCTTTACCTTGTAGCGTTAGAGAGACCAATAGGTCTCGAAATTGAATGAGTGAGTGAGCTGTCGTAACAAGCTTGTAGTTGGATCCTAATGCCACTCAAGCCTCGTGTGAACAATAATGTGTATGTGAGAACCTAATGGGTGCTATGGAGCCCCAAGAAGGGACACAAAACGTGCCTACCAGCTGTTTGTGCATCCAGTCTGAAATGGAGAGGGTATTTTGTTTGGTGAGCATGATAGCAATTTATGTGCATGTGCATTTTTTGTTTGTGGTGTAGAGGGGATTATGACTTCCTCAGTCCTCTGTACCAGAAAGGGCTTTTAAAGGAGTGTTTCCCTCAAATATTAATGCTTAACTGAGTGGTCCAACTGGGACAGATTTCACTGGGCTGGGGCAGTCAAGGGCAAATAGGTTTGATCTCTGCTTAAGAGGGTTAGAGCAGGAAGAGATGAAACAACACGTTCATACACATGTACTCACAAATACACACAAGATGGTCTCTCTGGAGGGCTCTAGGAATAGATCACAAAGTTTAGAAAAGGTCCTAACTCCCCATGTCATCCACTTTGAGCTCTGGACCAAAAAGAAACACTTGACTTTCAGAGAGTTTGCCCATACATGAATGTCACAGTTATTACTCATCCCAATCCCGAATTTCTGGCCTCTATTAGCCACTGTTGTTTTTATTTTTTTATTTAACTAAGTAAAGGCTACAGGTTAAAATACACAGAGTAAAGCTTTAATGTCACAAAGTATAGATTGCAGTTAGAATAATAGTTATAGATGCAATTACTCTGATGCCATTGTCTCCCCCTCCTCAGAATTGACGTGTACAATCATACACCGTACAAAAGCATGGCCATTGGCAATGGACATTAAGTCAGCATCATCTTAGAAAAGATGAAATGTCTAACAGTAAACCTGGTATTATGGCATCTCCTGCACAAACTGACTGTGTTGTAACTGACGCTGTATTAATCGCGCAGAAGCTGCTGAAAGAAGGTCAGTTGATCCGGTGAACTTTGCCCCGGTGAACTTTGCCCCATGGCTGCGCCACCTAAAATTCCTTGTTATGGGCACTAGGTTGCACCGAGTACCCTGAAGCATCTCCCTTGCACGTGCAAACACACATACATGGATGCACATACAGGCCTGAGGCTGAGGGGTCAGAGGTGATTTTGCTCCAGTGGCTGTGCTCGAATTCTTTATCAAACTAAACTTGTTTCTCAGCTCAGCTCTTCACCCAAATCTTCCTCTGTCCCCTGTTCCTTGGCCCATTTTTTCATCAAATAACAGTATTCAACCCACAAAACCCAACAGATGGTTGATCCCTGTAGACTATACACCAGACTTGATGACCCATGATATTCACAGAGCTGTTTTTACTGCACAAAGCATTGGACGTTTGACACTGTCTCGCATATAGGAGGTTTCTGAGCCTTTCAAAGCAGCATTTCATTGATGTCTCTGGCTGAACATTTCAAGCCAGTTTTCCCTTTGATGACCCCCAAGTAACGTGTGCTTTATTGCACCGGTAACCACACCCAGCAGGAAGGTGAGAAGTTAAATCCCTGCATTTGAGAAAAAGCAAGATTTGAGATGGTATTAAGTTACCTTTAATGTCAGTCTCTACCCCTTTTTTAAATTGAAAGGTCAATAGCCTGTAGTACTAAATCACACACAAACTCAAGCGGTATAACAAAAGTTTATTTTGTTTGTGTAAAAAAGACTGATATTACAATGATGATAAAATAATGGGAAGTATTTTTAGATTCTACTAGAACAACTATGTTCTGAAAAGGACTAAAAGATCCCCCCCCCTTGTGATAGTGATCAGTGGAGAGCATTTCATGTACATGTCAGGTAGATAATCGCTCATCCCATTATTTTCATTGAGTGGGTGGCTGGACACGGGCAATCCTTTTTTACTGAGCCTTCAGCCTGTGTCTGACACTTGTCTAGACTCAGTGAAAACTGCTAAAGATGCTCTTAAAGTTTGTCTTCTCTATCTACCTCTGCAGCCAGTTTAATGGCTCAGCACATGAAGTTTAGTGGAATATTTATCTTCCCAATTTCATCCAGTCTCTACTGAAGGAAATGGTTATTTTCTCTCTCTTGTTTTTGTCAGCTTGTGGGGGAAATCATCTCGGTGACAGATAGCCGGCATTTGGAGACTTGTCAGAATTCACAACTCATTATGAATGTACCCTGTCAAATGCGTTCAGCAGCGGCTTGGCTTTTAAGTGCTTTATTTATGCTGAGCTCTGGCTCTCTCTTTGGGGTTTTTTAGAGCGATTAATAAATGATGTATTTTTCCCCTGTCAGCTAATTGACAGCATTTGACTGCAGGGAGGAGAAGCTGGTTAGACCAGTGTGGTGATGTTGCAGATTGACTTCTCTGTGCGGTCCAGACAGATTCTTAGTTTGAATGGCGAGATGTTTCAGTGCCTGACTTGTCAGCGTGAAGAAAGAGGGCTAGACATGAGTTTAAACATGCACCACCACACACATGCATGGACACATATTCTTACTTAAATTTTCTGACTGCACAGTCTCAAAGCCGCACAAATACATCAGACGGCACCCATTTAGTAATCACAGTGAGGAGAGAAGGAAGGAGTGGAGAAACTTCTCTTTTGCTCAAAAGCTTGTTTCTGACGGTGTTAGCCTTAACCCTCATGAATGATACAGACTCTCTCTCTTTTTCCCCCTCTCTCTCCCTCCTTCTCTCTCGCTCTCTCACACTAACACACACACACACTCACTCATTGGCTGCAGGAGGTGTGTGTCCACATTTGTGAGGGGAGGGTGGGCTTTCGGGGAGGGAGGGGGGCAGTGCAGGTGATGTGACTGATGCAGAGTGACTTGATTTCATGTAAATGCGAGCGCTCTGAGGGAATTCACTTTGGATTACGCGCCCCACTGTGCACGGCCCATGAAATATTAAGCGCCGTGTCACTTTTTGTCCACAGGTGTCACTAGCGGGCAGAGAGGCCGGAGTTGTAGAATTGGAGGAGAGCAACGGGGGAGGGATGGGGAGGAATGAGGAGAGGAGGGGGGGGGGGGGGGGGGGGTCCCTTTGCCTTTTGATGAGGTGTGGATGTGGCGGGTTTAGCGGAAGCATATGCTGGCCCATACTTCCCACCTGCCGCCAGCTAGTCACCGCTTGTCAGTCCTCGCGACGCAGCGCGCTCTTATCACTTCTGACATGGCGGAGCAAGAAAAAGAGGGAGGGAGAGGGAGGGGAAACTGCAGATGGAAGGGAGTGTTTCTGGCCTTGTGTGTTTTGGGTGATGAAAGTCGTAAAGCCTCGCTTGTTCAGTCTGCTTTCCTTCCTGGCTGCCCCCTCCTCCCCCACCTGACTTTATTTATGTGACCTCATCTTCAACCCTTTCACTCTTTTTTATTTTTTTTTCCTTTCTTTAATGCAGCCTATCTGTCAAATAGAGTGGGCTGCCTTAAAGAAGCACTGCCACAGCAATCTGTAATGCAGTCCTCCATGAACTCAATTCTAGCCTCAGCTACAGTTAATTGGTGGGACAGGAGCCAAGCATCGCTTTGATTAAAATGAAACAACGCGAGGCGAGTGAGGATGAAATTGCAGCTTTTCTTGTCTCATAAAATGGGATTGTCCTCTCTGTTTTCAAACCACAACTCGTCATTGCCTCGCAGCAAACAAAGTCTACCTTTGGAGAGTCATAGCCACGGAGAGATAGAGAGACAGATGGTGTTGGAGGAGAAAGAAAAGGAGAAGTGACAGGTACTCATGTTCAAGGATGGGAGGAGATGACAGCGACCGGTTCACTCCACTCCTCTTTTCCTCTCTTTTCTCCGTCCTCACTTCTCATCTGTGACAGTTAACCTGAAGACATGAATCTGATGATGATATCTTGTGACCACTGCCATGCTTAACTCACTACTTTGATACTTCTTGCCCGGATGGTATGTCAGGCTTTATGCTGACCAACCTGGAGAGGCCTCTACTCTACTCAGTTGTCCTCTGTCCCGAATCATTATTTAAATTGTTCAGACAGGGGAGAAAGCAAAAAGGGTTAGTCATATATGAGGATTATGGAGTGAAAAGTAAAAGACCTTAGAGGGAGAACACTAAAAATGACACTACATAATAATATCACAAATTACTTTGTGTTGTATCTTCATTTTATCTCATTTATTCTTGACTCATTTTGGTGTAGTAATCCACATGAGGCACCTGAGTTTGAGTTGCATCCAGAAATCCTGTTAGACGATGGAGACTTTATGCTGGATGAGTGCCAGTGTCTCATATCTGGACTTCTTGCAGTCTGCAAGGGGTTTGCCAGGAAACCAGTGGCAAATCCAAGAAGTTATTAAGTTATAGTCCAACACATAACCCCCCTATAAAACCACAATGTGTCATTTTTATATTTCAGTCTTTGTATGGATTAAACAATGTTAATTAGTGAGCTTTAGAGGTGCTGTTTCCAGTCTTTGTGCTAAGCTAAGATACAGGCGATAGCTTCATATATACCTTACAGACATGAACATGGCACGTATAAAACCTTTCTTTGATAAAAGCTTTACTAGAATAGTACCACTCAGAGGCAAGCTGATGCCTTTTCTTAGTAGCCTGACTTATTACTGCTTAGATAATGCAGTGACTTTGCTATAAGCCTTTAAATAAAGGGAGTGAAAACTGAGCAAAAACAGCCTGGGGTACAAAGAGTTAAAAGCTCTTGGTTACGGGCTTGACTTCCAAAAAAAAAACCCCACACAAACACGCTTGTCGGACATCCGAAAAGTGCTGATGCTTATGAAAGCTCACGGGCAGTGGCCGGAAAGCGAGAGAGGGAGAAGGTCGAAGGTACCGCCAGCTCTCCATTCACTTGTTTTCTGTCTGTCTGGCTCACCGTGAAATTGATTATGGATTATTCAGTAGGAAAGCAGGTGCTCCCTCTCTTCTTTCATAAAAAAAGACTGTATGAAAGCGATTAGGGGGTAAGAATGGACGGGGGGACCGCAGAGAGGATGGATCCTCCATTGAGAAGAAACAGGAAGATCGCCTGTTTACTTTTTCTTGAAAGCCGGGTAGATGGATAGTGAGAGGGGGCAGATGAATGAGTGATATGGATGGAGGGGAAGGCTGGATGGATGGATGGAGTGGTTCAGGTAGCCTTACCTGGGGATAATGCAGCCCCAGTTGCAGGTTTTAATGGCATATAAAAGCCCAGGACTCATCTTTTATTCAGCAGAAGAGAGTCTGCCAGGTGAACACATACGTCCCAAGAGGATGCAGAAACACAGAGCTGTATATGTATAATGGTGTGTGTGTGTGTGTGTGTGTGTGTGTGTATTTACTCTCCACTCAGGTTCTGAAACACACAAACAGCATCTTGAGGTGTGTCAACTCAAGGAAGCACTTTAGGGTAGTTTGCTGAAGTTCGCATGGGAACAGGGTGTATTGGTACACTGGATGCAGTCATATATAGCATGTAGATGCACCTAAAACAGCATAGCAACACACACTGAGAATGAACACACTTGTGGACACCCGTGCATGCCCTCATTTAGGCCCATGTCCTTTGTGGGCACGCTCCCAGACATATGCAAAGTGCTGCTGTGCTTCCTCCATATGTGCACACACACTCTCACAAATAAACACTCTTGCGGGCACATTGAGAGTGCGTGAGTGGCTGTTCCATATGCATTTGGCTGTTTCGGCCTCCCTCCCTCCCTGGGGCAGGACCTCGGGCTCTGCTGCAGCACAAGGGTGATGGTGCAAGAGTCCACTTCAGGCCGTGTGTGTGTGTTTTTATGTACACGTGTCCTCCAGTCTAAGGTGGAGAGGGAAGCAGCCATTAGCATTTTGTCAATGTAGGGTGTGTGTGTGGAGAGAAAGTGGGTGCCAGCTCATTTCTTAGACCAACATTAAAACAGTGCCCACACAACTCCAGGCCTGTACACCAGAGTGAGTGGAGGAGAGTGTATCTGTAAAAGTGCAGCATGCGATTGAAATAAAAGAGCCAAAAAAACGTGCATACAAGAAGTTCATCTGTCACTACACAAACACCAACTTATTCAACTTGCATTGTTGATAAAGATGATGTGAAATAAAATGCTGAAACATTTAGTCTGATGATTGACAAGTTGGTCGATTTAAATGATTAATCGATCAATCAAAAATCTAAATTAGTGCTTAATTTTCTTCCATTTATTAGGTAACAAATTAAAATCTGTAGTTGTTAAAGCTTATGAAATTCAGTCTGTTACATATCATATTAATGGAATATTCTGGGAACTCATTATGGGCATTTTCACTTCTGCCATTTCCTAGACAAAAAATTTAATTGATTTGTCAGAAAAATCTTTGATTAAGATAAATTTGGTTGTTTTTGTTTAGTCTGACACAAATCTCATGAATACAGTACCTCTGTCACTACACAAAAACAAGCCTGTTGAAGGACAAAACATTGGTATTAATTACTTTTTGTCTGTGAATGTGATGTAGGTGTGGAGGAGGTGTTGAGGGGCATGCACAAGCTCGGGTTGGACGCTGATATCCAGACTCTAAACAGCTACATCCTCCCTGTCTTCCCCAGCGTAGAAGACGCTCAAGAGGCCCTCAAGGTAGAGTGTGTGTGTGTGTGTGTGTGTGTGTGTGTGTGTGTGTGTGTGTGTGTGTGTGTGTGTGTGTGTGTGTGTGTGTGTGTGTGTGTGTGTGTGTGTGTGTGTGTGTGTGTGTGTGTGTGTGTGTGTGTGTGTGTGTGTGTGTGTGTGTGTGTGTGTGTGTGTGTGTGTGTGTGTGTGTGCACATTTAAAAGACATAAAGTTGATTTTCTCCGGTCAGACTGTAGGTATGAATGTGAATAAGGAAATCTTCTGGGCATCCAAGATTGGAAAACTGGCTGAACAGAACCTGGCTGAAGTCTACACCATGAGTAAGTGTACACACACACACGAAGAAACTATACTGCAAAATCGTGGCTTCGCCTGCGGGCTAATTGGACCAGCGTTAAAACACACACACGCGCACACACACTCTCATACATTTGCCCACTTACTCCTCTGTGCTCATCAGGCCTTTTAAGAGATTAGTCTGTGTGAATATGTAAAGAGCGAGAGCGAGAGGCGCCTCAACTGGCAACTGGCAGAAGGACGAGATCGAGAAGGCTGTTACATAATGGATGATTCTTCCTGTTTTCTGTCTTTCATCTCATTTTAGTCTCAAACATCTAACATCCTCTTTGTATTTAGCACCCAATGGAATTTGTTTTTTGTCCTCACATGAAGAAAGTTTTCCTTTTTTCAAAATTTTTTCTTTCAGACCTGCTGCTTTCAGCTTCTTAAAGATTTTCCCGATTTTTTTTCTTTCTTTTTTCTTTTTCTGTTGTATATCAATGTAAAACTTTTTTTGTTTTTTTGACTTTTGGTCACACATTTCAACCTTTTTTTTTAAATAAGACCCTTGGCACTGTAAACTGGCATGTAAATGGGCATTTTTCAGTTTTTACACATTTTGTAGATTAAACAATCAATGATTAATTAGTTTCCCACTAAATAATATTTTTGTAGAAAAATCAATTATGAAAATAGTCATTAATTGCAGCCCTGGAAATTATATTTACTTTATTTTTCATTGTAAACCACATTGATCCACATTAAGACAAGTTGTTGCTGTCTTTTCTCTTTCTTTCCCTCTCATCACTTGTCTTTCTCCTCTCTCTTTTCCAGTGTCGGATCCCTCCATCACCTCGTTTGACTGGACTATTTTCCGCCGCAGTCTCATCAAGGCCTTCAAGAAGTGAGTCGATTAGCCCGTTGTCTATTTGTTTGTGTTTTATGTGTTCTATTGATATTCCATAATTCTCCATATATTGCCTCACAGTTCCTGACTGACATTTTAGGGAGGCCTGTAGCACTATGGAGGTCACTGCAGCATATGCTATGACTATGACATGTGCAACCTATCACACCATCTTGTGTGTGTGTGTGTGTGTGTGTGTGTGCGTGCGTGCGCATGCAGCTGCAGGGAAAAACACAAACACACACATAAACACGGGTGCCTCATGCATATGGAGGCCATCATCCCTCAGCTCTTACCCCAAAGCACCGTGGGAGATATGTAAATTAACAGATGCCCAGCACTGCCCCTCACACCCAGACCCCCAAACTGATCTCACTCACTCTCTCTCTCATACACACACACACACACACACGCAGAGTTAGCCTTAGGACCATGGTCTAACCCGTGGGCTTTTGTTGAAGGGGTGTTTATGAATATTTACAGTTTAACACTGCACACCCACCTAAAAGCACTCCGGCCCCTGAGCGAAGCTGGAGGTGAGTCAAAGAGAAAAGCGCTGACTTGTCTACAGGGACTAAAGTTATTTCCCCCCACTAAAAAGCCAAAATACATATACTCAGTTGCGCTTAACTTTGAATTTTCCATTCAGCCAACACATTCTTTGCTGTAGAGATGATGTGTTAAATACCTGAGTGGATGTTAATAATTTAGCTAATATAAAGCATAAAATAAAGACAATGTGGCTTCTTCCCAGGAATGCAATGTATCCTTTTGAGAAATGGTCAGTCTTTTTTATAGTAGAATTCCACATTATTTGAAGTAGTGTTATTTTCTTGGCAGTGTAGTTTTATACTTTTAGTTGAAGGACGTGAAAAATAATGTAAGAAGAGGAAATGGCATCTTTTTTTCTTTTTTTCTTAAGTTGAGAGAGGTACTGTAGCTTACACAAACGTTCAAAGGATACAGGTAGTGACAGCAGATGCAGCAGTACAGTTTTTGCTTATTTCGAAACTACAAATAAATGTAGTTTACCATATTTTTTTTAATCAGAAATTGGCATGTCCTCTGTGTCTGTGTTTTTAGATATTTTAAATTACTTTATCCATTCATTGTTTGTCCATATCTTTGTGTCTGAATCAGCTTCCTCTTCTCCATTTGCTTTGCTCTCATTGCATTAACACACGCATACACACACCTACACACTCTTCTGACTGTTAGGTTGGCTGACAGGGTCATAATTGCGCTTGTCACTTGGTGTGTGTGTGTGTGTGTGTGCGTGTGTGTGTGTCTGTGCGTGTGTGTGTGTGTGCGTGCCGTGTCATTGCAATGCGGGACCTGCCCCTGTCAAAGACAAGGTCAGGGGATAATTTAATCATTAAAGACCTCTTCTTCTCTCATCTCTCATCTCCCCCTCTCTCCTCCTTTCCACCAACTAGCTGACAACGCCAGAAATGTCACACATTGTCATCATTTACCCTGCGTGTGCGCGTGTGTGTGCGCGCCTTTTGTGTGTGCGAGTATGTGTGTTTTGTGGTTTCCCAGGCTTTTGTGCTGCCGTCTCTCCTCTCTTGTACTGTGGGATTGAGTGTCAAACTGGAAAATCTGATGCTCTGTCTTGCCATATTGTATTGTACTACACTGTCAATTCAGTAACTATGGCAACATGACACAGTCAGTATTATAGTTACTTGAATCAAACCCCATTTGCTGTCAGAAAATTAATTAATCTAAACTAAATAATATATATATATTTTTTTTCCATATTTGAAAACTAATACTATACGTTGTATGTAGGGGAAAAATTGGAAAAGTTTTTTTTATAGATACAACTAAATCTCCAGTTCACCAACAGACCAAGCAATCAACAATATAGAGAGCATAGTTTAGAGACATTTTGCAATAATTTAATATGACAACTTTCAACTGAGAGAAATTGGCATGGATAAGAGAGAAAACCAGAGCAAAGCAGAGTTTGTATGGTAGGTGTAGGGGTGAAGGTGCTTCTTCAAGAGATGCACATTAACCCTGACATGTTGGGAGTCTTGTTGACCCACTGGCGGTGCGTGTTGACTGGGTGCTCATGTCTTGTCCTCTACTGCCCCCTGCAGGTTTCAGGACATCGAGAGCATGGTGAAGGTAAGACCTGAATGTGCCTTCACTGTTTGAGTGCTTGTACATAAATGTGTATACCAGTACAGATAAACAGGATTTCTGCTTTTGAAAAAAGTTAAAAAGCTGAAAATGATACAGACAACACTGTAGATTATTTAAGTTAATAGAAAACTAAAGTAAGCTGTCTTTATGACGGCTTCTTCCTTACAATACAACATAATAGCTATGATGACTAATTTACTCACCATCTGCTACATACAGAGTTACATTTAGGAAGAATATACAACATGATAAATGCCATCTGCTGCCTTTTATGCAAATCTCCTTATGGCACACTGAGTGTATAAATACAGAAATGTTTAGGATGGATATTCAGCTTCAGGCATTGATTGACAAATTGACATTGGTTTACAAAAAGAAAAACAGTTTATTCACACACATAAAAATCTTAACAATTTTTAAACTAATACAAAATGTTGTACTGTGTAGGAAATTTTTTTTGTGTGTTTGTATTTAATTTATTTAATTGTTTTTACAGATTACTGCACTCATGTGCAACGACACACGCTTCCAGAAAAGCAACTTCAGAACTACTGGTAAGGAAACATTTACACACATTGTGTGTGTGTGTGTGTGTGTGTGTGTGTGTGTGTGTGTGTGTGTGTGTGTGTGTGTGTGTGTGTGTGTGTGTGTGTGTGTGTGTGTGTGTGTGTGTTTTTTTGTGATGAGATGGGAGAATCATCTATCACATATCAGTATTCAAACTTGCAGTCTCAGTCACCTTCCAACTGAAGCCCTTGTGTGTTTAGGTCCAGGTGTGTGTCGGTGTGTGAGTGAAAGACCTGCTCTCCCTGTCGGAGGAAATAGAGCCTGGCTGCTGACACAGTGCTGAGTGGTTAAAAGTGTGGGTGTGTGGCGTTAATGCCGCTCCTTGTCAGTGTGTGTGTCACGGAGAGTCCCCAGCGCTGCAACTGTTGTGTGTGCTGGTGGGAGCGATGGAGACTGTTATCCATGTCACATCCCATTAGACAACATCTGCGTGTGTGTGTGTGAGAGAGAGAGTTGAAGTAGAGGAAAGCTGTCAGTGCCAACCATCGCACATTCACTCACACTGCAGCCCAAAAGCAGCCTCTGTCAGCAGAAAAGAAACACAAACACGCACTCTGCAAAGGTTACAGAAAAATAGTATAAATGCATATATGGATGCAGTGACTGACACGGTGGCAAATTAAATGTAATCCCAAGACAACTGTGTGTTTCCATCCCATCCAGAAGAGGCATCCTTCATTTTGTACAATCTGCTCGACAGCATGTCAGAGAAGGACATTCATGCAAAGGAAGAGCAACTGAAGAGGTACTTCAGTCAACTACAATCTGAGGTACACGCACACAATGATGTTGTTACTGAAAACAAATACACTCACACACTAATATAATGTATATCCAGTTTATTCATAGCCATCCCACTTTGAAGGAGCTTACGCACTCTGATCTGAGATGATTTGCAGTGTGTAATTAGACTCAGATTATTTACGAAATACACACCCACACACACAACCTCCTACCCCTGCTCCATTTCTAAAGAGTGACGGTCGTCACTTGGTTTGAGTTAGGACATCCAGACGTGTTGTGGAAGATTAAATCATGCTTTACACTTTTTGGTTAAAGGTTATGTCTTAACTGGCCATTTGGAGTTCAGTAAAATGGTTTCCTGGTCCAATGTAGAACCTTTTTGGAGTCACGGAAAAGTTCCAAAACAATCAAAGATGTAAAAAAGAAAACAAAAAACCCCCCCAGCAATTTTGTGAATCTTTTATATATCATACTTGGCAGAGCTAATTCTGACCTGCACCATCTGACTCGGGGTCCTGTCAAGTAAATATGCTGAGTTTTATCCTTGAAGGTACTGATAATTTGTTTTAGTGAATCCTTCATTAACACTTACAAGTAGTGGCCAGGACAGTGTGTGTCTTTACCAAAAAGCAGAACAACAACATAATATATTTTTTGAAATGTTCCTCTTGGTAAATGTTGGTCATTAATTTCTCCAGTTGAAATTTCAGTATTCCCAACAACACCTTAATGCAACTTTATTTTCAGCAATGATTTCTCTGCAATTTAAAAGCTCTGTGACATCTTTTCAATAAAATCATGTCTGATTTAAGTATATTCATAACCCAATTAATGTTATTAAAAATGACGAGATTAGTTTTCTACTTTGTGCTCATTATGTTCATCTACTCTTCAAACTTAACTCTCAAACTTTTTTTAACACACAAAATTCAACAATTCTGCTTCTGTTGGGCAGAAAATCTGATCAGCCCTTTAATGATGTTGATTTCCTTCCTTTGTTTTTCTGCAGAACGTCATCCTTACAGCTAACCTCCACAGAGGCATAATGAACCTTCTGGAGTCCTACAACATCCCAGAGCTCATCAAGGTACAGAGCCTGTTGGATATAGCTCAGATTGTCCCAATGAAGTATTAATCATGATGTTTTATCATAGAACTTTTAGAGTCACTAAAGCATCGGTAGAATACGCAAACCTCAGTAGTCAATGGCAAAATATGTCCACATTGAGGATGTATTTGTATTACTTATGTTTTCTGCACTGTTGTTCTAGTTTCCCCAATGATGTAGATTTTGATGTCAAATGTTAACCGTGTGTGTCTGTCTGTCAGGTGGTGGCTCCTTTGCATAGCGGCCACACAGGATTCCATAGTGTAAGTAGGAGTGTGAATGGGACTGTTGTGATGCAACATAATTCATTTTCAATTTGTATGTATACCTGCTGGGACAAAAAAAAAAGAAAGAAATTATTAATATCACCACCCAAATTACTCAAGTTTAATTTTGTAAGAATATATTTTTCATCTGTGGGTACTTTAAACCGAATTCTGTGGAGATGAGTGTGTATTAGTACAGGCTCATGTACACATGCGGTATGTGTTTAAAACCTCTGTGTCTCCATCAGGATAAAAAGATGTTGGCACTTAAAACCAGAATTTCCGAACTGAAAGCAGCGGACCAACCAATTGACAGTGTTCTCAAACAAATGATCAATACTTACATTGAGCAGGAGGTAGGATTTGTTTGAATAACTCACAAAACCCTCTTCTTTTTTTCTTGAAGTCAGTTGTGTTTAGTCCTGAGATGTGTCGTTTTGTTGTCTGATCAGAAACCGCAGGCCGCCCTAAACCTGATGCAGGAGCACAAGAACGAGGTCACAACCAGCCTCTACATAAGCCTAATCAGAATGTGCTGTCGGTACAACTATGTGGATCAGGTGCTCACACTGAAGAAGGAAATGTGAGTGAAGCAGGATACACACACACACACACACACACAAGGCAGCGCTTCGACCAGTAGTAGGCCATTAAAGTTTAACTTGAGTGGTATTAGGGGAGACATTAATGCAGGGTCCAGCCGCTCTGTTGACGGGATAAAACACAGGAAACTCTCCCCTCTTCCTCCCTTGTTTACTTCTCTTCACTCACCTCCTAGTTCCAGCATCGGACTGAACTCCGACAGGAGAACTTACAATATATGGTTTGCATTACTGTCAGTGGAATACATTAATATAGTCTCTCACCCTCTCTGTCTTTGTCTTTAGGAGTCTTAAGGACCCAACAGAAACGCTGGATTTCAGTAGATATCTCGAACTGGTCAGGCTCCTCACAAAGAATGACAGGATGGAGGGTAAGTTCCTTGGAGGCTGCAACTAATGATTATTTTCACATCAGGTAAAGAGTAAAAGGTGCACATCACAACTTGTCTGAGCTGAGGTAACTTCCTTCTTCAGCCTGCTTGTTTTGTCTGACCAAACCAAAAGATATTCATTTCATTTCATTCATTTTTGCTTCAAGGATTTAAAATACTTACACATTTTCAGAATCGTTCTTAATTTTGTGTCTATTGACTAATTGGTTTTATTTACTAATCCCGCAAGTTCTTAGTTCCTACTTTTTCTCTGACAGTAAGTCGGATCAAAGTAGATCAGGCTTGAACTTAAAAAAAAGGCCTGCAGATGTGAATGTGCGTGTGTGTGTGTTACCAACTCTGTCACAATCTGTCTTTCTCCCTCCCTCAAACCACATTAGCCGGCCATTTTCAGAATGCTACGGTGGGTTTCCTTCAGCCCATCGAAGACCCAATTACCATCAGTTTTGCCGCTTTGCTTTTTGCACACAATGACAGGCAAAATGTTTCCCTTGTCTGTCCTCGCCTGCTCTCTCCTCCCCTTCGCTCTCTCTCTCTGTCTTCGTCTCTGTCTCTCCATCTGACCCTCTCTCCCCCGCTCTGTCTCAAAGCGTGTCATTCTCTCATTCTCCCCCCCTTTCACACATCCGCGTCAGTGAGAAATGAGAGAGGGGGAAAATTACAGGACTGTGTGTATTTTTCCAGAATTATTGAAATCCGCCTTGATGCTAATGGCAGATCATGTCTGCCGAAGTGCTTGAGCATTACGCACACGCACACACACACAAATTTGCATGTGTCGTGGGGTGTATAGGCAGGGCTAACGCATTTGCCATTAGCCAGAGTGTGCATATGGAGGGGACGCTTGTCAGCCACATTAGCACACATGGCTAACCTTGATGTTAGCCTGTCCCCACCCCGACGCTGGTCCGCCTGGCTCCCAGCACACACCAGGCCCAGCTGAAGACCATGTCTCCTGGCATCTTGCTTTATTTCTCACTTTCTCTAATGGCTTTGTTGTTTTTGCCCTTGGTTCTAAGCCTCCCATCCCACTGCGCCAGCCAACTTTATCGTTTACGTTGTTTCACGTTTATCCTTATGTTGCCCTTTTTTCTTTCCACATTGCTCTTTTACAAATTATATTTACTTCCTCTTCTTCTCACCAATGAAGTTTTCCTTTGCTGCTCACTCCTCATCTCCTCCTCCTTATCTTCACATCTGTCAGTACATCCATCTGTCCAGCAATTTTTTGTGGATGATCCAGTAACTTTCACAAAATATATTAAGCTTTCTTTCATGTAAGCCATAAATGTAAAACAAAGACAAAAATGTAAATGTATGTAAATATCTTTACAGTAAACCCATGTACACACAAACATACAGTGCCTGTTAAGCAACAACATCAGAAATGTTACATAAGACAGTACAACACAGTGCCTTTTTAGATTAACATAATTTATCCAAATCATTGCTGCCATCCTTATAAAGGTAATCAATATAATGTATACTTGTTTCTGTGAATTGTTTCTTCGACATAAACCTACCTAAACACATAGTTGCAAAAACTGGTTAAATTAAGATTCAGGGAAGATTCATTACTCAGTAACCAAACCATATGCATAAAAGTTTGTATTAAATGAACACAATGTAAACTAAATTGCAGATACAGGTTTAGGTTAATCAGTGTTCGTCTCTGCAGTGATTCAGTAATTATTTCCACTGCTGACACCAGTGCCTAATCTTAATGCGCTGTGGGTTTCACATGCCTGAACACCCCCTTTCCCACCTCCTACCTTTGCCGCTTTCCCTTCATTTTTTAAGTACACCTCTCTATCATCAGGCATCTCTTTGACCTGCCCTTGCCCCTCTGCCTCCATCTGTCCATCCTCTCATGTTGGTAAACACAACTTGTCCTGGCTTTTGGTGGTCTTGGACCGTCTGTGATGTTCTCTTTTTTTTTTTGTGTGTGTGTGTGTGTGTGTGTGTGCGTTGGGAAAGAGACATCACTAGCAGTCAAGTCATGGAACATTAGATGAACCATTGAGCTGTATGATTTTTGTTTACCTGGCCTGTCTGCCTCCCCATCCTTTGATATGTGTGTGTATGCGTGTGTGTGGGGGCCTGGCTCGCTTTGCTGGCCACGATGCTCGGCTGAGCTGATGGATATGCATACTGGCTAAACGGACGGATAAAGGGAGAGATGGCGGAGGAACGAGAGGGGGGTGGTAGGGGGGAGGTAGGGGGGATTGGATGGTGGACGAAGGGATGTTAGCTAGTGGAGCTCCATTTGGGCAGATCAACTCCAAGCCATTGGTCTCAGTGATTAGTGGGTCTGTCAGAGAGTGATGGAGAGAGGGATGCGTAGAAGGAAGGAGGGACACATGCAGAGAGACACACAGAGTCAGAGAGCAAGAATAAGTTATAGCTGAACTGATAAACAGTACAGACTTGACAACAGATCAGGTCATTATATGGCAGTTGTTTAATATTGATACCACCATTTGTAATCAGATTGTTTTCCCCTGCAGCCTCTGTTCAGGCATTTGAGTGTTTTAGTGCTTTTCTTTAAAAGTTACTTTAGGAATACTTCTGTGAAGTCTGCAAATGTTTTTATTTAGCCTGTAATGCCAAGTATAGTATAGTGCTCAATCAAAGTTGTTCTTGATCTTAATTTTGTTTCTGTTAAATGATCGACTAAATTACATCATAGTAGAGGGAAATGGAAGCAGGAGCCGCTGGCCTTTTGATTGTCCACTGTTCTAATGCCGCAACCCTTTTTAAGGTGTGTTTATTGCGGACATTATGTATTGCAGTAGTGATAAAAGTGTGATACATCATCACATTAGTTACTGAGAACCCACTAGCTTCAAGGTTTGACCTTTTCCATTCTTCATCACTCTTCGTCAAGCCCTAATCCAGCTAACCAAACCTATCCCTCTGACAAGCTTCATCCCCCTCTCGTTGTCCTCCCTTTAACTCCCACCCCAGTTCAGCAAATTCTCCTCCATTGCCAGCCACCCCTACTCCACCCTTCCTTCCTCTGTTTCCCCCTGTCCCATTAAATCTGTGACAGCCTTTGGTTCCCATCGCCATAACAACTGGCACAGAGAGGTGTAGAGATGGAGAGACAGACTGAAATTAGGGTGCCAAAGCACTCACCAGTGGCCCTGTCCCTCAGCTCACGAGTGTGTGTGTTTGTCTCTGAATGTGTGTTCCCAGTAGAGACTGCCAATTCTGTTTGAGGGGTTTTGTTATATTACCAGCTATGTAGGTGTTAGTGTCATTAGACCCACATTTGTTCACTTTAGCTTTATTTGGTTTTTATATATTTGTCTCTGCGTTTGCTGCAAACGTAAGTAGCAAGGATTTCTGTTGAGTGAGTTTTAAGTGTCAGTATTGCCCTGCAGTTGGTGGACTGGCTTAATACACATTATTCAAATATATTCTGTGTCTCCACATCTCTCCATCTCCTCCTTCCTCTTGGTCATGCTGTATAGATTAGTGTCTGTGGTGGAGAGCGGCTGTATCGCTGTCAGCCCATTAGCAGCTGTCTAAATAGACAGTAAACGCATCTTAATTACCTTACCCTGATACACCATGTATACACACATACACACACGCACCGTTTTCAGTATTTAGCCCCTAGTGTTGGCCAGATGGGCGCGTGGCCCGGTAAAAAGCCCTCCATTACCGGCTGGACTTGACCAAACTGATCCACCCCTCAGCCCGCTTACCAGGGTCTCACTGGGGCCACGGCGGGCCCTTGTCGCCACATACCTATAATTTAGCCCCCCAAGTGCTTTCTACATGGCCACAGCAAAAAGCCGGCCTCCATTGTAGGGGTCCGGTAATTGTAGTCTCGTTTAGAAAACCGCAAGTAGCAATTAGCGCAGAGTTGGCATTATACGGGGTTGGATTTGCTTCCCCGCTGGGTGCAAAATGCTGTTTTAATATGGGTTTGTTTTCCCCACATGGAATTAGCTAAAGGGGCCTTTTATCATATTCACACACCCTACTCTTCTCCCAGCCAAGCTCTGCCCACCTCTCGCTTTCTCTCTACTCATCTCTCTGCATTATCTCTCTTTCTCCCTTTCTTTTGTTCTTTTCATTCGCCCTTTACCTCTAAGTCACTCTCACCATCACTTCATCTTTTTTGATTGCGAGTCTCACACCCTCACCTCACCAAAGCATCACACAAGAGTTACTGATGGTAACGTTTCTACATAACATTTTCCGTTTTTATCTCACTTTTCCCTCCATCACAGAAGCGTTGGAAATGCTGAAGGAGATGAAAGAGAAGGATCTGACAGAACATGAGATGCACAACACCTCGTTCTTTCACATAATCAACAGCATCGCGATGAAGGGCGACGTGTCCAAAGTCCAACAGCTGCAGGACACCATCTTCACCCTCGGACTGGCTAAGCCCTCCATCAGTCTGTGCTCACCTCTGATTACTGTCCACCTGGAGAGGTAAAACAAACTTTGACTGTTTATGAATAGCAAAAACACTCACTCATAAAGACACACACACACACACACACACACACACACACACACACACACACACACACACACACACACACACACACACACACTTTAGCCCAGTAGACACCAATTTAATATTAAAACAATTTTTGTTAGAGGGTATGTTTTATTTCTATGGCTGAAGCTCTCCACTAACCATCCAACCAGCTCACTTTTGTTGTCAGATTGTGTCTATCTGCCAAAACCAGTTGCCAGGTGTGTGTGTGTGTGTGTATGTGTGTTTCAATGAGTCACTCATCCCTCCCTATGATCATAGCTGAGGTTACATTCTGGGTCAGTGATTCAGACAGAGAGAGGATGTGGAAATTGCTCATTTATATGTGTGTGTGCGCGTGCGTGCACGCAGTGTTAGAGCCGGGTTTTGTTTGTTTGAGGATTCGCCAGCTGCAACCTCTCCCATGAGCCCCCACCCCTGATCTCCTGAAACACCCACTGCTATACTCCAAGGTGTGTGTGTGTGTGTGTGTGTGTGTGTGTGTGTGTGTGTGTGTGTGTGTGTGTGTGTGTGTGTGTGTGTGTGTGTGTGTGTGTGTGTGTGTGTGTGTGTGTGTGTGTGTGTGTGTGTGTGTGTGTGTGTGTGTGTGTGTGTGTGTCGAGAGATGGCTATCGATGCCTCTTCCCATAATGCAAATGAACGTTACCAAACACTGGCTGTGGGGTCACTGGTACTGCCCTACTCCTCAACTCTATTCAGTATGTGTTGTGTTATTCAGTGTATGTGTGTTCTATTTGTCAGAGCGGCTTTTAAGTAGATCAACTCATTAGCATGTTAATTATGTGCAGAGCACTAATTGCTGGATTTACCACAGCCACGCAGTGTGGCGTTAGGGGCCCGCCACAACACACACACGCCCTGCACATGCTTTCATACACACTGTTTACCTCTAGTGTACATGCTGCGTTAGAGGTAAACCTTGGCACATGAAGCTCATGCACACACACACACACACACACACTGGTGCTCCCCTGCCGCTGTTTGTTTTGCTGTAAGTCTGGTCTCTGGCACAAACAGAGTTTCCAGGTTCACTCGTTAATCACTGCCTCTGTGAGATTAGCAGGCTAATTTACTCCTGGGTCATCAACAGCAGCCAAAACACAAAACACACACACACCAGCTTATCACAGCCCTGTGCAAAAATCAAGTGCCAGTTGTACTTCCTCCAAATGATACTGCAGTGAACACAAGTGAACAGGCTAGCTGCTGGTATTCTACCATCACCTGTCTTGTGTTATTGTAACATTCATGGGTTTTCTGCTGGCTGGTTGCCAAGGCCTCCTGAATAGTCAACAAATTAAAGGTGGAAGCAGATACAATTTCCACTTTACTTGAACGTAAGGTAGATTGTTGTTTGTGTTTAGCGTCTTTAGACAATAAACAGCAACAACATATTTCTTTAAATTATTCAAATTTCCCCTCTTTACCTCTCATAACCAACTTTTATTTTAGCAGGTTCCCCTCTGCAGGGGTGAGATAATGACCTAATGGCGTATCGCTACTCGAAAACATTGATTTCAGGTGTTGAATGGCCTTGCAAATAACATTAGTTTAATAAATGAAGCTTTTTGTCAGAAAGTGCAACTACAGGTTTGCCTCTTCACTGAATGGAACTAATCATGATCATGATACTATAGCAAATCATCAGTGTTACACAAGGCACATGTAAGGCTGAGATACTCTTAGTTTCATGATGAAACCCTTGGTGTTAAGAGGCTTTTTGGAACTAAATAATTTTATACATTTGTTGTTTTCAGCAGAGGTTCAGCCAAGCCTGAAGGCAGATTTGAGTACCACAACACTTGACTTTTGCACTCCTGTTGAATCCATCTCCTTGCTCTCTTCTCCTCTTTTTATCTTTTATCTTCATCCGTTTGTCTCCACCTCTTCATTCCGTCAGTCAGCGGACAGATAGACAGTTGGGAGGAGGAGGGACGGAGGGAAGCGATAAAAGAGGACAAAGCAGGCATCACTCCCGCCTGCACCCGTCTCATCGCTGCGTCAGCGCTAATGACTTAATGAACACTTCTCCGGCAGATTAGCCCTTGACAGCCCATCATATGCGCCGCCCCGTTAGCCTTCATGCCCGTCCACTCGATGTTGTGTGTGCTAACCTGCTACTACGCTAGCTGGCAGGTTGCTCAGATTGCCACATCCTTATGGAAGTGATTAGCGACACGAGATGCTAATGAGTCCAACAAAATGAAGAGCTGGCAGGACATGTATGATGAGATAGAAAAACTGTGGCAATAGAGGAGGAGGAGGAGGAGGAGGAGGAGTTGCGAGGAGGGTTAGAGAGCTGATGGCAGATGAGTGGCTTGAAAAATACCTCATTCGCTTTCTTTTGCTATTGTGTGTTCATAAGGTTTAATTGAGGCCTAAAACAGGAGGAGAGCATCCATTGCTAAAAAGCATGGTTGAAAAGGCGGTTAACAGAAAAGGGGGTAAAGTAGATGGAAGCAGTGAATCATAACGTAAATAGATGAGAAGACTGTTAATATTTTTGTCAGTGGGTCGTAGCACTCATAGTGGGTGCGGCATCTAGTCTGAAAGTTCTATACAGCACCTTTTAACTATTCAACTAGTTATGACTTTGCAGTTCCCTTTAGTGCTACAGGATGTTTTAAGCCTCTTTTGGCTTATTGTTTTGTTCTTCCTGCCCACAACCAGAAAAACCCCACTGTAAACTACCTGCCAAGCATCAAACTGCAGACAAACAAAAGTTAGCAACTAGCTGGTGAATGTAGTGGACATTTTGGCCAGAAACTCCAAATTGAATCTAATGTTGCTACTGTTATTAAACTGTTGTTATTAGTTACAGGCAATAGATACAGCTTTTAAGACACACAAAGACAAAGTCATGGAGGTTTTCACCTACATTGCTACATTATATGAGCATCCACCTGTGTGGGTACTAAACATAAGTGCCATTCTTCACATAACACATAACAGTGGGCCAGTGGTGTCATGATCACAGTCTCATTTGCGTTTGGAGACACAGACACCTCGTCCTCCCCCACGCAAGGACAGTGGCTTGATAACAGGCCTGCCGATCTCCTCTGAACAAAAGAGGGGGACGGAGAGAAAAAGAGAGGGGGGAGTGAGGCAAAATGAGCTTCCTTGTCTAATCCTTCAGGTTTCCACTGAGCAAAGCGCTCGTTTTTTTTTCAGGGCTTAATTGGCTGGAAAGTGGCTGACATGCAAAGTTGAGGACATTAACAGGGCTGTGCGCCGCAGTAAATGGCAACGCAAAGTGACAGTTAAATTGTACCTAGGGGAAATTATCCATCTTTCGACATCCTTAGCTCTTTTTTGGGGTGGATCGGTGGGCGGAGAGAGGGGGGAGAGGGAAGGAAGGTAGAGGGGGTGTAATTGCAACGCCGGGCCCCCTTTTTTTTTTTTTTTTGCCAAGAGTGATGGGATGTTTTTTTTTTTTAGATGTCTCATTAGGAAGGAGGGATTATAAGTAGCTGTGGAGGAGCTTGATGGAGGAATGAATGAGGTGGACAGAAAGAAGGGATGAAACAAGTGTGGAAAAGGAGTTTTGGAACATCCACCAACATGACTTGGGTACGATGTGTAGAAATGGCTCCAGTGTAGAAAAAAAACAGTTAAGGCAAGTGTTCATTAATAATAAACAGATATCTGCACTTTTTTTCATGTCCTTGTCTTAGTTTTTGAGTAAACCACGTACGTATGACAGCCCCCTCGGTCTCATTCCATCTCCACACTCTTTCTCTTATTTTCAAAAATCTCTTAGTCTCTCTTCTGTGTTGTTCAATCAGACTGTTGTGCAGTTGAATAGCCTCTTGACTGGCGCTGCTGAATAATGTTGTCCCTCTTCATTTCAATTAGCGGACCTCTTTACCTTCCAACCCTAATCACTCCATTCCTCCTCCCTCTATCGCTCTCTTCTGCTTCTGCAGAAGGTCATAGCATTTCCTGGTTTTTTGGGTTTTTTTTTTTTCAGGTTTGTCAAGTTTGTCTTTTTGGGCATATTTCTCTTATCACACTTGTCCAATTGATTAGAGGAGAAAACACTTCTGAAATTATACCCATTTGCTCTCAATCTCTGTCTCTCTCACGCTCTGTCCATCTGTCTCTTTTTCACTCGCTTACTCTGCTCCCTACCTCCCCCATGGGTGCCCTATCTGCTTTGACCTCTGTGTGATTGACATGGTAATTACCCAATCAACAGATTGATGGCAGCGCTGTCACAATAGAGGGGATTGAAGTGGTCTCTCTCCCTCCCCTTTCTCATTCCCTTGCTTCCTTTCCCCCCCATCTCTGTCTCCCTACTTCTTGTTATCACTCCATCAGGCACACTCATCCTCCCTCTACACACTCTTTTGTTTGTACGTCCGCTCAGGAGGGATAGGAGGGATAGATTGAGCAAGAAAAGGATGACATGAGATGAAAGCAGTGAGCTGGTGGTGGGGTTTCTAATGTTGTTGCCATATTTCTGCTAAATTGCTCAGCTGGGGGCTGAGGTCATCGGAGGGCAGTGAGAGCTGACAGCATGAAATCAGAAGGAAGATGGTGAGGAGGAAGCAAGGAAGGAAGAGTGAAAGGAGGAGAGAGGACATCAGGAGGAAAGGGAAATGAGAGTAAGAGGAAATGAGGGAAGGTTAAAGGTGGTTTGAAAGGACAAAAGAGGATAAAGAGCGAGAGAAGTTGAAAGGCGTCAGAGGAGCTGAGCGGAGAGGGTAAAGATCAGCTGAGTCCTTTTGTCTGTTGCATTGCTTCCCCTCTAAAAGCCTGTCCAGAGAGACATTAGCCCCTCGCAGACAGGTGTGTGAGAGTGTGCCTGATTGTGTGAGAATGATGTATTGGGGCCAAAAGGCTTCATCACCCACAGTTGTGCTGTCATGAATTCAAAGGCCTGTATTGTTGCGGTAGGTCATAGTGCTCGAATAGGAGGTCGCAGGGTTAACACCCCATGATACACACTCTATTCTCTACCAACACAATCCTGTACATGACTGATTGGACAGACCTGACATCTAACTCGCTCTCTCTCTCCTTCTCTGTGTGTGTGTGTTTTTGTGTGTGTGGTTCCATGCCTGAAGGAAGGACCTGGCCGGAGCTTTGGAGGCGATGGAGACGATTCACAAGCGCTTTGGCTTCCTGCCCCGCATGCAAGATATCATTATTAATCTGGTGGAGATGGGAAACACCGATCTACTGCAGAAAGGTTACACATTTCTCTATCCAGCCCGCACACTTTGTCTTTCAGTGATATTTTTCTGATCCACCAATCTAGTTTTAAAACAATTAGTAAAGCAATTATTATCTTCAGTAGTTTACCACACACACACACACACAGACACAGACAGAGAAAGAGTCAAGGATTTGCTAGTGTATGTCATTCTAAGTTGCTTAATTTTTGATTTACAATTTTTCTTTCTGCAAAATTACCAGTTGAAGATGTCCCTTTGAGTTCTGGGAACTCAAGTCATGGATATTTTTTTAATCTGTTCTAGGACATTTTGTAGCCTAAATGCTAATTGATCAGTCATGAAAATATGCGAAACATTAACAGATGATGAAAATGATCATTAGTAGCTGCTCCTTATAAACGAGCAATTCAAGTTCCTGCGGGATCCCCACTGTCTTTTCATTCAACCATGATTTACATTTATAATCGGGGGCATTTTATGCTTTTCTTTAGAAAGTTGACAGAGAGATGACATTACAGGACAGAAAGGGAATGACACACAACAAATTTTCTTTGTTTGAATTTAAACATCGGACATTACGGTTCACGGTCAGCAACTTAAACCACTATGCCACCAGGATGTCCTAGAGTCATGATTTTTATAAATGCACAAACATCACAAGGCTTATGTTCAAATAGCCTCATCATACTTCAAAATAGCAGTACACACTGTCAATGCTTCATGCAGCTATGTTAAAAAACACATTCACTTTAGCTGAGCTTGATGAAACTTTCTGTTTCTCCTGGTTGACTCTAACCTTCTAGTATTCTAGTGTTGGGGGGAGCTAATTCAAAATACCCATGCAGTGTTTGCATTAAACACGCACATAACAAGCGCCAACAATTCCAAGAGTGTGTAAGAGGACCAGAGGGTGAGAAAGGTTTAGACCAGGGTCATGTTAAAGCACGTCAGGTGATCACATTTTGAACGGTCACCCTGTATGTCGACAGCAGCTCGGTGAAAAGGTCAAGTTCAATGTGCTGAGGGGCAAGTGGCTCTGGAGTGCGAAAAGGTTGAAACCATGCAGTGGAGCACCTCTCTACCTCCCTCCCTCCCCCTTTCACCCGCTCCCTCATCCACCCTTCCCTCCCACCCTCGTCTCTGACACCCCCCAAAGGTGACAGACCCTCAGAGTCAGTTGATGCACCCTCAAAAAACAAAATGATTTTTAGAATTGTCTGACAGAGGCCAGCATGTAAACCAGTGCCAACTAATCAGTGGATCTTGAAATAACAAATGATTCTGTCTCCCACTCGCTCATACAAAGCAGTAAAGAGGGATGACTTATGACACAAACCTTGGGTCACACTTGACCTGACGGCATTATGAGTACATGTTGAGTGCTGCAGCCTGCTGCACCATGGCTTGCTCCTGTGGACCCATGCTGTTGCAGTGCATGAATAGTTTGAAAACTCACCTTAAAATACACCTTCTGAAATAAAGTGTACCGGAACCATCAAACGGGTAGACTTCCAAGAGACTGGCCTTCAGTTGTCCACAACACACTAAAAGCGTGACATGCCTCGTCAAATGATCTTGACTCGCATGTCTGACTTTGGTTTGAGTTCAAGCATCAACAGAAAAATAAAATGTAGGGTTTTGTTAGGTTCTGGCTACCATAGCAACCACTGCACATTATACATGATTGTAACCTGGAGGTTTCTGTCATGGAAAGTCTACAGGAGTCTGGGAAGTGGAAGAAAAGCATAATAAGTTCTAATATAAGTTGCTATTATTGAGCCAGTAATATTCATTCTTCCACCAGAGCTTCAGATTGGGATTTGCACGCAGAAAATACGACTTCAATTTCGTCCATTCGGTCGGAAACTCGGTTACAAAGTTGTCTACATTAGATGTAGACAACTTAATGAGTAAAGTTCAAAAAACAAAATCACAGCACATTGTTGTTTTTTTTGTTGACTTCAGATGACAGCAAGTGAAGGGAGAAAGATTATTCTTTCCTCCCCTGCTTTGCTGAATATGCAGGTTCATTTGGATGATTGAAAGTTTGCACTGTGTGTGTGTGTGGGGTACCTGTCCTGGAGCTGTTGGACAGAGATAGTACATAACGCTGAGCAGAGCGCTTTAGCAAGTTTACCATGAGAGCTTAGGCTTTCATTCGGGACTTGTGTGTGTTTGTTTGAGAGCAGACTTGATATTGCTGCTTTGTGCCTGGGACATTGTGCCAAATAATGGAATCAGAAGGAGAAGATGAGAGTATAGTTTGTTCACATTGCAGACATTTTTATTCATAACCTTTCTCTGCTCTCTTTGACTGTCTTTTTGTCTTTTCTCTTCAGCTTTGGACTTTCAGTCTCAGAGGCAAGGAGAGATGACCATGCTGTATACTCTGTTCTTTGCATTCCTGCAGACCGGGCACTACTATGAGGCTCGTAAGGTCATTGAGGTAAGGACACACTATGGTACATAAGGAACTGTAGAAGCCAGGTTGGGTTTTCTGATACTGTATCGTCTACTGTATCCCAGTTTTCAAAAAGTTTTTAATTAAAACATGTGGTTAATCGCCATTATTTCATCTGTTTTATCAGATAAGTCTAAAAGTTTCTAAGTGGCAGGGGTATCATGGCCACATCCACCCTGTACTGTACTAAAATCTGCTTAATTCCCACCAAAGACTTACATTTTTTATTTTCTGTTCTCAAGGTAAGAGAAGAATATGACATAAGAGCTCTCATTTATTCTCCCTTTACATGGTATTAACTGTGAAAAAAAGTTAAAGTGAATAGATCTGGTCTCTTTATTTAAAGCTTCTGTTCTGCTTCTTGACTGAACTCCATCTCTAAGATTCTCAATCTTAAAAATAGTTAAATGGAAATCAGGATATCCAGGATTTAATTGCCAAATTCTTTTTGTTCATGCAGCTCATCTGACCTGAAATATTTTGTTAATATTTATATCTGTGTCATTTTAAGTCCTGCTATAAGCCCTGTAGATTAGTGCGAGAAAAAGAGAGAGGCAAAGCGGGCAGATAAGAAGCGATTTTCACATGGATAAAACAAACGGCCGGTGAGGGACTGGATAGCAGGACAGAGAGATTGATGAATAAACAAATAGGGGGATGAGCCTGACATCAGAGGAATGGGAAAACAAGGCCATTATGTTGTCTGATCAGGATGAGAACAAAAGTGAGGGGGAGAAATACCTTAACTCCCTCGCACTGACTCTGCTCCCTCTCGTGTCCTGGTGTGCACTAAAAGAGGGATTTGTCCCTCTTGAGGATTTCCAAACCCTCTTAAATATTATCGACATGTTGTTATTGTGGCTCTCATTCTTCCTCTGCTAGATTGTATGGCTGTTATCCTACTTATAACAGAAAGCCAGCTACATGCCAGTGATGTGTGAGATTGGTGATGCTTTGTAAATGTACTACAGCTGTACATGTTGTCCTTGATGTCAGTGGAAGATGACAAATGCTCTTCTGCGTTATCCCCATCTGTTGAGTTTTATTATGAAGGGTCGGCTGGTTTGTCATGGACACGCAACGCAGTGTGAGGTTAAACCTGCAGGTCTTTAAGTGATACAGTATAGTAGCTTCAGAATGTACATTAAAACATCAGCTATTGTACGTACCAGTGGATTCACTGCCACATCTGACTTATGTTTTTCTCAAATGACCTTAAACCCTGAAAGACATTCCATTATGTCTCTTCCTACATGTGATTGCTTCATATAAACAGGTTAAGAATGTTTAAACCTTGAGCTAATACATATTTCAGTATTTCATTAGTTCTCCTTTTCAATTATTTGAATCTTACTTGCTTTTTAAAAGATGTAACAACATTGATATATCTTGAATAAAGTTGTTGCAGAGAAAATTTAAATATTCAGCAAATGTTGACTAACATTTAGCATTTATTTGTGAGTATTTGTGTGTATTTTTTTAAGCTCCATTTTGTGCTCTGCAAACTCCTGAGGGAAATATTCGAGCTCAGTTAGCTGCTCAATGTTCAAACCTTTTTTGTCTGATATTTGGTGCTTAGCAGGCATTGGACTTTGGACCTTTAACTGGGTTTCAGATAAACCCAATGTGTAGCATTTAGTGTCATCTAGCAGTGAGGTAGACATAGATTGCAACCAACTGAATACCACTCTTCTCACCCTTCCCTTCCAATTGTGTAGCAGAAAGTACGATGGCCACTAAACTTGGAAAAACCTCAAAAGGCACCATCTAGAGCCGGCAAGACGACTATTCTTTTCTGCACTAATGAAAACCTACCAATGAATATTAAATTCAGTTTCTTACAATATATCCTCCAAAATCTTACACACTGGTCCTTTTAATTTGCGGGCCAGAAAACCCCAAAAGGGAGCTGAAAGATGCTAAAATGCGTCTTGCTGAGCTGAGGGAAAGCAGAACAAAAAGTCACTAAGAAGATATATTTCAAAAGCTGCTCCCCATTTCACCTGCGTCGTTTAGAACGAAGTCTCAAAACAGAAAGTTCACTTCTGAGTTGTGTGTTATACTTGCAGTGACAATGGATATAGTGCTGAGGATATATAATACAATAGAATCATATCTATCACTCAAATATGCATACACACACTCAAACTCAAATACTTTTTTCCCCTCTGCGAGCGTCAAGTGGTAGTCCAGAGTGGTGTCTCTCTTTAGGCTGTGTTTGGTATAATTGGCAGCTGATTAATCACAGCTAATTAAATGTAATGATAGAGAAAGGTGGCCAATTTTGTGCTAAATGGTCAAGGTTAGGTAGAGGATTGTCAGGTGGCCGGGCCTATTATTGCTGCATGCGCATGTGTGTAATGGTCAAGGTTAGGTAGTATTGCTAAAGAGTGGTGAGCCATTATGTGTTTTTGTGTTAGGAAGGTGTGTGTGCGCGTGTGTGTGTGTGTGTGCGTGTGTGCGCTAAGTGGCCAGGTGATTAGTAGAATTAGAACATTAGGAATTGAGATGGAGGGGGTTTGTTAAGTGGAGGTGAGACAAGGTCGCCTCTGTCTTTTTCTTTTTGTGTACATAAGGAAGAGAGGGAAACCTGTAAAGATGTTTCAGCAGCTAAAGGCCACACAAGACTCTAAAAGAGGCAGAGTGATGGATTGTAGTACACTTTGCTGTGTGTGTGTGTGTGTGTGTTTGTGTGTGGGTCAGATGATTGTCCTGATAATCTGACCTGATAACATTTTTCCATTATCTCTTTGTGAAAGTGAGAGTGCTTGTGCCGTTATTCGTTTGTTTCTGCTTTGTATTCTTTTGAGCCATCCATGCGTGTGTAATTTATGTACTTTCTTATTTCTGAGGATTTAGTCTTCCGCCCAGATTAGGGAGATTTGTTCTCACGGATTCAAAATCCCAGGCATATTTGTGTGTGTGTGTGTGTGTGTGTGTGTGTGTAAAAGTGTGAAGGCTGCTTTGAGCCTGCAAGACTTTACCAAGTAAAGAGAATCAGAGGCAAAAAGATGGAGCACTTGCACTGGGCCTTAGTCTCTAAGAAGATTAGGCAGGCTGAGCGAGAGAGTGAGTGCAACACATTTTAATTTGTCCCTTTGGCTGGTTGGGTAAGAACATAATGCCTTTGCCTGGGCCGGATGGAGGGATGGAGAGGCTGGGAAAAAGACTGAGCAGGAGCTGGGGAGATTTGGAGGAAGGAGGAGGGATTGAGAGAAGTGGGGATTGAAAGAGGAAAGGATGACGGCAGTGAGGGGATGGTCAGAGAAAGGGATGAAGTCCGTCTTTTCTTGACTTTCCCCTCCCTCTCACAGTATGATGGGCTCCCTTCAAAGAGGCCAGCGGGGATTGAGCGCTGTTGATCCCCCCCGTACAGATTAACTTCCTGGCAGATCGCTCTGTCTCCCTTTTTTTTTCTTTCTCTCTCAACCAGATTACCAGGAAGAGGGCGAGATTTCTCAATCCTAGTCTTATTCAGATTGTATCAAAGCCCCAAGAGACAGATGAAATCCCGATCTCTGTCATTCCATGATAATAATCATCTAGTCACTCCACATATCAGGCTAAATCTTTGCTACACGAGCCTGCAGATCAATCTATGTCAGCCCTTATTTGACAGCCCACACACTCTGTCTATCTGCATATCACTGGTGGCCTAGAAGTATTACAAATCTCCCTCTGTTGGGACTTTATAGTCAGTACAAATTCTTATTGTTCCACGTTAGGTTCTGACTATCTAACCTGTAAATTTGCATCTAAAGTTAAGAGTGTGTCAGGTAGTCTTTTTCTGTTTTCTCCTGTGACCACTTTTCCATACAAACCTTTTATTTTTTTCCCCCAAAAAATGTCTGTCAGCGTATCTTTATTAAAATTAGAGTTTAGCAAAGTTCTAAAAGAGGCAACACAGAACTTGTTTTTGGACATTTATAATGAATATAATTTGTTTTTCCACCCTACAGTGGAGCAGACCTTCAATGTCGTCACTTCACACAGAATCCACTCTGTACATTAGTGTTGGGGTGGACAGGTGATTAAGTGATTAGTGCCTGGTCAGAAGATTAATTGACACAAATTTTGATAATAAGTTAAATTGCTCAAATCAAAAATGCCAAACATCTGCTGATATTTTTGACTTCTCGTCTCTAAAATACAGATCCAGATTTTATCTTATCTTTTTTATGGCAATTTGATTTATTGAATGCTGTTGGGATATAACGAGAATATGCTTCTGAAATATGTCAGCTTATAGCAGTATTAAAAAAGCTCTTTAGATGATGTGTTAATGGTTTTATGTTATGTTTTATCTATATTTCACTGACCCCAATATTACTGCTTGTGATTTGATGTAGGTCTGATGCTTTAAAATATTCCAGGCTGGATTTAAAGGATAATTCTAGTTTATTATAACTTTTTTTGTGAATTTGGCATTATTTCTATCCCTAATAATGACATTGAAATAACAAGTTATTGATCTGGGAAGACAGTTTCATCGCTCAAAAGAAATCCGATGGGACGAGAAACACAACACATTCACATGAGTTATGTACAACGGGAACAAGGAAATGTTTAGTGCAGCTACAATTCGATGCTGTTATTTATCTACACTCTGGTTTCTTTCATTTGAAATTGTGATCTGTTTTTCTTTTTGTAGACACCTGGGCTGAGGGCACGGCCTGCACGCCTGCAGTGGTATGCAGAGAAATGCATTTCCTCCAAGCAGGTAACATGCACAAAAACACAAACACACACTCGGGCTGAACTGATCAAGGCCGCTAAGATGAAAAGCAAAAATAAATTCCAGCTTAAATTATATATTGTTGTTGTTTGTTTGTATAGATGAAGCCCTTGGAAGAGATGGTGGAGATGACAGTCGAGCTGTTTGAGTGTGACAGAGATGAGATGTACAGTTACATGCTCCGTCTCTGCAGTAAGTCTCTTTTTTTGTGTTGACCTCCCACCTCTAGGTGTTTCTCTCTCTCTCTCTGTGTGTGTGTGTGTGTGTGTGTGTGTGTGTGTGTGTGTGTGTGTGTGTGTGTGTGTGTGTGTGTGTGTGTGTGTGTGTGTGTGTGTGTGTGTGTGTGTGTGTGTGTGTGTGTGTGTGTGTGTGTGTGTGTGTGTGTGTGTGTGTGTGTGTGTGTGTGTGTGAGATGGAGAATGGGATCAGTCAGATGTAAGGGCAGATTGCTGCAGTGGAGAGCAGAGCAGATAACAGTTGTGATTGGAGTGTTAAAGCTGATTGTCAACCCATTACCCCCACCACTTCCCTTCACACACACCCCACTAGTTAGTGTGTTTCCTAAATTACAGCATAGTTGAGGGTCAGTCAGTTGATCAGATTAGTGCTTTGATTGCCCCCTCTCAGCATGGAGCGCTTTGTCAGAAATGACTTTGTGGTGCGGGCTGAGTGGTGAGCTACATCCAATATGGACTGACGATACAACATGTGTATCATGATGATCATAAAAAAAATTACTTAAGAGCACACCTTTTCTCTTTTTCCTACTGCCTTGTTTCTTGTTGTTTTCAGAGGAGACAAACAACTGGCAAAAGGCACAAGAGGTGTGGTTGAAGATGAAGCAAGAGAACATCACTCCCAAAGAAAGAACCCTGCGTATCCTGGAAGAGATCCTGAAGAGCAATGGCCAGAAGGTGCCTTTTGAGGTCACTGAGGTAAAACCCCAGCTTTAAAATATGTATATCCCAGCAACACTCATTAGACAGATGTGCTATTCAAAAGAATAATTGCCAGGAGCATATGAAGGAGGAGATTCCCAAGAGCTCTGAACAACTCAAAAAGTGCCTGAGGTCAAACATAACACACAACCATGCAAACACAAATTACAATGGTGCCTGTGTATATATGTCTATCCTAAATCTTGAATGAAATAGGATGGAGGGTACCCTTGGTTAGAGCACTGAAATGATAAGATGATAGACAGATAATTCTAGACAATTTTGATAATCTGTTAATCTGTATTTTAAGCCATTTATCAAGAACACAATCTCTGTTTCCATCTTCTAAAATGTGAGGTTCTGCAGTTTTTACAAGTCAGTGTAAATTGAATATTTGTTTTTTTTGGAGCTTTTAGTGTACAACAATCAGTTTGTAGATTGCCACCTGGGAACTTCTGATGACTCACCATTTTTTCTGATATGGTATCGATTAATTGATTAATCGATAATGAACATAATCCTAAATTGCAGCCCTGCCTTAATATTAAAGGGGTCCTTGAGAAATAAATCCAATAATTCCAAGGCCAAATAAAGTACCTTATTTATACTTTACTGCAGACAAATTACACATGAATGTCAAAACAAACAACATAGGGAGATACAAAGAGGTACTATAAATAAGAAATAGAATAACAAAAGCATAAATTACTGAAATAGAACTAGGACCCTCTAACTATATATACAATGACAGTGCCCAGTAATATTCTGTACGAGGTTTAATGTAGGTCGAGTATACTGTATATCGTCCTGTACTGATGTGGATTGAGGAGCTGCATAGATGAGTACTGAGCATAACCAAATACAAACTGAAACTGCACTCCATCATTTAAAATACAATCGTGTCATTCCCAATTATTATCATACTGCATGGATTAACCAAAGAGCCAGCTGACCCCAACCTCTGATCATAGGAGCTAACCCCAAAAAACCTCTCAAAAATCTTATCAACTGCTTTCTCCATACAGCCCCCCCATCCCACCCCACTCCACTTTAAGCCTCTGTTCATTACATGCAGAGGGAAACAGGATTGAAGCTCTGATCTGAAGTGTGGTCAATCAGACCGGCTGGCTGGTGAAAGGAATTACTGCTTGATCTGTCTGTAAATCTGTAATGCCAGACTAATTTAGCCAGCAGCTAAATGCCACCATATGGCTGCCGCTGAATTCTAAGTTATATTTTTGTGTGTATGTGGGCATTGACTGTATTCTCACCAAATGAAGCCAGACCAGACAAAACGAAGGGAACAGAATCTGAATATGCGTTAAAAAATGTTACGCATTAAAGACGGATGAATAGTATTCTATTGCTCCATTCCTCCCTGCTGCATTTTTTTCCTCAGCTTTGCTTTTAACGTGAGCGTGCTCCAATAGCCCGAAGCATGATGAGACAGGAAGTGATTGCTGTTGCCTGGAGCGATGAACTTGGTGACCCTTGGGGATCTTGAGTTGACACTCCCGCTTTGACACACACTCTCTAACACACACTTTTCTTTTGCCCCTGTGGTGCCAGACCTAATTTGCCCCTAGCCAATACAGCTTAACCCCCTCCCCTCACTGCTACACGGGTGACCGAGCATTAGGGGACCCTGCCCTGCCGGCCCAACATTATTGCACAGTCATACACACATACCCACACCAGCTCATTGCTGGAGCATACAGTTGAATGTGTACACGGGCTTGCATGTCGGCTGTAGCGGTGTTTTGATGGAAACGTCAGACTTAATTTTATCACTGTTCTCTGTGTGTGTCATTTTACAGACCTGGTACAAAGAAGCTGCTGACCAAGAGGTCATTCCAGCACCCGCACCTGCATCTAATTCTACTGCTGACTATCGAGCTAATCTGTTCAACCTCTGTAAAAAAGGCAAAGGCAAAGGTAAGTAGCAGGAGGCCCCAGTGTAGTTACATAGACATAAAAGACAAAAAGAAAGACATAAGAAGCTGTTTTGAAATACTCAAACCATACCAGATGGTACTCAAACCATCTGAGGTGTGTTAAGTTTCCATTTGAAGCCACTATAAGATATTTTTGACCATTAGTGGGCAGAAAGACTTTGGCAGCCCTGATATTCTTAGAGCATACAGCACAATCAGCAGCACAGGCTTCCCGTCTGTCTCACCATCTCATGAGTTTAAGTCTGTTACACATTGTTGTCTTTCAGTTCTCGTTCTAAAATGTCCTGAAAAAATTAGTTGTATCTGGAATGTTTAGCTTCCCAGATAGTTTACCTTTTATTTACTCATTCACTTTGCTCTCTGCTGATGCAGCTGTGGTGGGCAGGTAGTGTTAAGTGGGATTTTGTGCTTGAAACAGCATTTGATATGGCACTGTTAGTGAGAGCTGCTTGGAGGCATCCATACAGTATAATTATGGATATGTAATTGGATAACCAATTCTTGAGCTAAAAAAGACTAAAGGTTGAGTTATGTTCGACACAAATTGGTCCACAGGGGTGCCTGCAGTCATAGAGAAGGGTGGGATGCAATAAATGTTCAGATATGGGGAACATTACGCACAGATAATCTTTCTTTGAAAGAGTTTAAAGTGCAACTCTGCATAGCTTCTCACCTTTTGTACACCCCACTGGATGCTGCATGAAATGGGCAGGCTTGTTGGGTTGTGGGTAAGGTTTTTTTAGAAATTGTTCGACCATCTGACAGGCAGCTCATTTGAAGAATACTGACACCTTTAAAAGCAGTTTAGAGCGGCAAGAGTTGAGTGTTGCATCTCAACAAGTATTCGCAACACTTAACACACAAAGCCGTAAATGACCCAGTGTTAATATAAAAAATATATTGCTTTATGGAGCTTTGGACTTCAAACTTTTCACTGGCTATTTGGAGAGATCTACTGCAGGTAGAACCAAATTTGAATAATATGAATTTTAGAGAGGTGAAATGACGATAATTACATTGTATTTCAGCACTGTAGCCGTCTTTGCAAAAGCGTATTAATCTTATTAATCCAATAATATTAAGATTATCTCAAATTATGCTTCTCTTTATCTTCTCCTCCCTTCAACCTTTTTCTTTTTCTCCTCTTGTTCCCTACCTACAGAAGCCTTTGAGTTGCTGAAGGATGCCATTGAAAAAGATTTGTCAGTACAAGCTCTCCATTACGACCAAGTGATCCGTACCCTGTTGGCCAACGGATTATTGGAGGATGCCTTGACAGCCATAGACACGTAAGCGCTTTTACGTCTCAAAAATTAATATTTATTCCGTTATGATACTGGCCGTAAACAGTATATGTAAGTGTTTGTTTCAGGTAAAGTATCAGGTTTGGCTCCCTGGGGAAACATGAGTCATTTCTCTCAGTCTTGTATTTTAACATTTTGACCTGGTGTCTAATTTGTGATAACCAACATCGCTTTTGTTAGTTGAATCAAAACAATTAATGCATGAGAATATTATGAAACAGTCACATTCACAGGCTGCGCCGCAGTGCATCTTGGTTATAAACACAATAAACTGACAAATTCTACATGTAGTGTGGTTAATGCTCTGCTACTTTCCCTTCTCCTCAGTATGTGGCAATGGGTCACCTCAGGCTAAAACTACATCTCCTCAATAGACATGAGGATTATAAACTAAACACACACTACCCTGCTGGATATGAACAGTAGCTCTTACTAAGCCCCAAGACACACACACACACACACACACACACACACACACACACACACACACACGCTCGGATGTACAGATTCATTTTGGTTTTCTGGGAAGCGGGTGACTTTGCCCAAAAACATCAATCGTCTTCCAATTAGTAATGTATCATGTGGTGTTGTGTTATGGGGGCCATATCAGGGCTCGAGCCTGGAGACAAGTAGACAGAAGTATTAGAAATCTGAGCTTAGTGCTGCTCTGATCTTCTATGTTCTGTTTGTCTTTTTAGGCAATCTCCTCCTTTTCCTTTTCTTTCGTCTCCTTTTGTCCCCGTCTTTATATCACTTTCTCTCTGCAGAGCAAAGCAAAGTGTCCCACAAAGAGATAATAATATAATGACACGAAACAAGAAGGAAGAGATGCAGTTACTAATTTGTAGGGAAAGGAAAAAAAATATGTAAAAACATCTATTACACTATCAGTCTCTTCCCTGTTTTCGGCTCTCTACATGGTTCACTCTCTTATGTTGGGAGAAATAATCGTATCAATTTTAGAGTCCTGTTTCAACAAGCACGAGGCAATACAAGTGATAACCCATCTCCAGTCTCTGTTTGAATTGGTTTATGGCATCCCTGCCTGGATAAAAGCTTCGTTTATCTGCACTCTAAATGAGAAGTGAAATGAGCTGAGAGGAGAGTCGAGGAAAGATGGAAACGGGGAGGAAAGGAAGGAGATAAAAAGAGCTAAATAGGAAAGGAGAAGTGAACAAGGGGGAGGGCTAGATTTAATCACGTACGAGGTTAATGAAGACGCTATAGGCATTAATTCTGTGTGTGCGGGTGTGTGTGTGTGTTTGTTTTTGGGTAATCTGTACAGAATTGAGCAGCGGGGTGCTTACGGCGAGATTAGGAATTGGGAGAGAGAGGGAGGGAGAGGGAGAGGGAGAGAGAGACGGAGGGAGAGACGGAGGGAGAGAGAGATGGGTGATGGGTGATGGATTCATTGGCTGAAGCACAATACCCCTAGAAGGAGAAGACGAGAGAGCGTCAATGAGTGTGTGCGTGTTGGGGAAAAGGTGAGTGAGAGACGGCCTCTAGAGATTTTCTTCCACCCGATAAGAATAATTCTGACCCCACACCCCCACTCCTCGGTCTCCACGGCAATCCCCTGGCGACCCTGTTACCGCTCCAATCTCCGCCGTGACCCTGTCACAGCGGCTGCCGGGTGCTGCTTGGCCTGGTGTCGCCGTGGTGATAAAGATTGCCGGCCTGATGCTCAATTGAGCGGACGGATTAATCTGGTTGCAGGGCTATAATAAGAAATAAATATAAAAAAGACGGGAGGCAAGCTTGATTGAGGTTTTAGTGGCACAGAAATGAAAAGGAGGAGGGCTGAAAAGCAACAGCAAATAGACGGGCAGACGAGGAGCGGGGGGGGGGGCTCCCGGAGGCCTCGATACTGCAGCGTTCAGCCTGTCCCAGCCTCACCCTCCCACATAATACCACACACAGATATACAAACACACACGTGCAGTGGCTCAGCAAGAAGTAATCAACTGTTTGATGTCTGTATTATTTTCAGGGTCACAGCAGGCGTTTTACAAGAAGCTCAGACTTGCTGTCAATCACATTTGTTCCCATTGTCTTGTCTGTGTTCTGTCTTTCAGCTCCTGTGTTTATCCACTCTGTCTCTGTGGAGTCTAAAAATTCTAATGATGCCACAGAGACATTAACTCAGTAATCACAGATTGTAAAGATTTGCTTTTAATGGTAGAGTACAGTTCAGCTCTAAAGTTAAAAATAATGGACTTGGGAAGAAGTTACATGTTGCAGAACTCAGATAGGAATGAAATCTTCTCTCGTGGTAATAAGCTCTCACAATATCAAAAATGAATTTACGATTTTCTTCCGTTTTGCTTCATACCATGGTAAAAGCCCGTCCAACATGGGATGACATTACAATACCGCATATAAATGACACAAGTCTTTGGATAAAAGATTTCCAACAGTTGACATGCTCTCTACTGTTACATGTTCCTAAACAAAAAAGAACATAAAACCTGTTTATCACAAAAGCAGGATAGAGGCATACAGTATACATATGCAACACATAGATTATTTGAACAATACATGGAGAGTAAGAAACTAACAATGATATAGTACATTTTACAGAAAGTTAATGAAAAACACTCAAAAATAAAACCAACCAAACTCCACAGCCGCTCTAGTTGGCCGTGAAGCCGTACTCAGGCACAGCAATGATTGGAGCTAACTGCTAACATCAGTCTATGATCAGTGTGCTGGCATGCTCACAACGTGCTGATGATTGGCATGTTCATCATCTTAGTTTAGCGTGTTAATGTTGATGCTAATTAGTGCTAAACGCAAGGGTTTCATCCTCTGGGGACCGTGAATGTCTGTACAAAATTTCAAAGCAATCCCTCCAATAGTTATTGCGATATTACAATCTGGAATAAAATGGCGGCTCAGAGCCATGCTGCTAGTGTGGCTTATAACTTATGAAGAAAATGGCGTCATTTGACCTATTAAAGAAGTGTACTGTTGAAAAGTGATACCAAACCAAGAAAATTCTGTGTCTCTTTCAGTGCTGTGTTTAATGTGCCAGGCTTCACCCTGAAGCACATAGCCAACAATTTGCTCATCGTCACATACAGCAAGCGAGGCAACACTAAAGGTAAGAAACAGACATGCGTAGGTAAACATTCATGTATACTCATTTAATACACACACATGCTCACTTCTTGCACTTCTTTCCAGAGGCCTTTGAGAAACTGAAGTCTATGCTGAAGATGAAACAGACACCCTCTTATCTTGCCATCACCAGACTGGTTCGGGCCATGGGAAACCAGGGCGATCTGGCGGGTATCCAGGAAGTGCAGTCATTGTTGAATGACCCCAATATAGCGAAGATGATGTTCATCAACAACATAGCCATTGCACACATCCAGAAGTAAGACTGCTAAGTGTGTTTATGGCAGCCTTGTTTTTTGTTTTGTGCCAACATAAATTGTATCCCATAACCACATAAAAGTCTACACAAAAGGGCTTTGACTCATGCGGTAAGGGTCATGTATGAGTCACATTAAGACATATGCTGCCTTTCAGGTATTTCCCTAAATTTGACATTTCAAAAAAGTTGTCATATCACCACCAGTTCTTGCACTTGACCACCAACCATGTATAGTCAAATGGAGACAGAAATCACAAAAAACAAAGCACTGTAAATGAGCCGGGCGGTATGTTACAAAACATTATAGTTTCAATTTATGAGGCAATTTACAGTCCAGAGTGAAATCTTTTACACTATTTTGTAAACTTACAATAAACAGTTCAATGCAATACCAGCAGCAGAGTGTGACAAGACCCAGGTTGACACACTCTTAAAGTAAAAACCTACAGGGCGACTGGGGCGTCAAATACAAATAGGGAACACAGGCGTAATAGGATTATTCATGGATTCCTTTTAATGTCATCAAAACACCCATCCTCCACTGCTGCTTCGTCGCTCCTCAAACAACAGAGAACAAAATAGAAGCACATTGTGCATCAAACTTTCATTGCACCACTTGCCGCATTAGCGCTGTCCTCCAGCTCAAGCGGCAGCGTACCCATGCCAACTCGGAGGGACAGCAGGAAGTGAAGAATAGCAAGACAGTCTCACGCCCGATTGGCCACCGTGGCGCAGGCCTGTCAGCTTGAACCCTGACCTCTTGGAGCTGCACCCTGAGCGGCTCTGACACGTGCGTCCCCGCTCTATCTGAGTCAAGCTGACTGGTTAAGAGCCAGGGCGGAAAAAGCAAGCAGGCCCGGAAAGCAGAGCGCCACATTTAGAGGGGCCCCCCGCTGAATTATTCAGACGGTCCCAGTCGTAACAATCAGTGTAGATATGTTCCCCCCTACCTCTGGACACTCTCACATATACATACACAGAGACGCACACGCACCCTGTATGTTAAATATTCATTACGCCTGGTGACGGTGGGGAGGGAGCAGGGAGCGTAAAGTGTTAGTAGCGAGCTCGGGTTGCCAGATTGAGTTGTTTTAGATTTGTAGTGCTTTGGTGTGCAGGATTTGTTCGGTTGTGGCGACCTCAGCAGAAAAGCGTTTCCCAGTATGATTATGTAGGAGTTGTTCTGCACTCTGTGGGACGTTGTAAAGGACAAGAAATGAAACCAATAGCTTTTTAATATTAAATTACAAAAAATGCTGAAAAACAGCATATGGGAGCAGTTCATATTCTTTTAATCTGGCCAGTTTCTCATAATATGTCTTGCATATGTTCTTCCCCTGAGGCGTCCAATCACAACTTTGAAGATTGAATCATGAGTCATGGTTTGATTCTCCTGCTCCCTGTTTATCTGTTTGAAGATTAATCATGCACAGGTTAGGGGGTGTAGTTTTTATCTGTCCTAACCCTTTCTTTCCCTCTCACTCATCAATTCTCACCCTTTTCAGTGGCAACGTGGAGTCAGCAGTGGAGTTGTTGGAGGAAGTTTTCACTAATCCAGAGAACCGAAACGCTGGTACAAGCTTTGTCTTCAAAAAGGTCTTGGAAGAAGACAATGACAAAGCCTTAGACAAGTGTAAGACAGACACACACACACACACACACACACACACACACACACACACACACACACACACAACTATACATGTATATAATAATAAATACAAGCAAAATGACTCATTTAAAAGAGATGAGTATAAGAATGATTCAATCATGTCCTAAAATGTTGTTTTGCAGTGAGTGCTATGGCAGAGCGGCTAGCCAACCATTTTGCCTGCTACAAACCAGCTGCAGACCTCTTCTTCCAGCTGGTGGACATGGGAAAAGTTGAGGACGCCAAGTTCATGCTGGCTGTGAGTATAAGTGTGTGTGTGCCCGCAAAAGCTGTATGCCAGAGAGCCAACACATATGTGTGAAGCATAGACTGTATAATTAAAAATGGCTGTAGTCTTCGTGACGTCACCCATAGGTTTCTGAAGAACTCGGTGTGGTCGACTCTAGCCGTCGCCATCTTGGCAGTCCTGACTCCGCCGGCTCTCAGCTTAATCCCAAAATGGGCAAAGATGTGGAGAATGGGTGGAGCTGAGCTGGGCTGAATGAAGCCTGGTTAGTGAAAAGGTCATGGATGTCGATGTCGGTTGTGGGTTTTTATTATTTATTCATTTTTGTGACCACTTAAAATACATCCTAAATAATCTGGAGTGTTTATGTCCTAGTGCACACTTCTCCTTTTGAGTATAATTCACTTGGCAACATTTTAAATTATTATATCAAAGTAATTAAAATCTGCCCAAAAAAAAAAAAAATCAACAAGGGAACTGGTGATGAATCCATCACAACTCCCGGGTGCTTTAGTCCAGTTGTCAGACCCTGATGATGGAGAAGTTCTTCCACCACAAACGTTGATTTATTTATTCAGCCTCACATTTATGTCAGGAAATGCTTGCCCACATTCCACCACTGAGTCTGGTGGTTTGAAATTGGCCTCCTACTACTTCACTTATTTAACACAGTTCATACATTACAGCTAAATGACTTTGCATTGAGCCTGGGGACATAAATATGTAGAAGCTAGATGGGTGGGAGACAGAAGGAAAGAAGGGGAGGACGAGTTGGTGAAAGAGCTCAAAGAAATTGTCAGAGAAGACACAGAAGTTAAGATGAAGAAGCTGCTCTCGTCTCTCCAACGACAATTATTCCACTCTGACTTGCTGAGTGATTAATCCTCTCAGCCACTGAACACGTGAACACATGTGTATTACTCACTGCCTTCCCTTACTACACTTCATTGCTTTTTCAACATGTTAGAAAGGAATGTGTGTTCATATTTGATTCCTGACACACGATCTTAGCTGCTCTCATTTTCACCCTGACACACATTTCCCTGTTTGCTTTGGACATATTAAATTGGTATTAAACTCTTTCACATTATGATTTTGCTGCTAGAAATGTAAGCCTAACCTAAAAGTACCTTTTGTACAAGCAGACAAAGGGCTGCTAATGCAACCAAATCTGAGTAGTTCATACAATGCAGTATGCAACTAAAGACGAGTTAATTTACAGCATTATATTTAAAAATAATAAACAGTAAAACAAAGAGTGTAATTCCTGAGAACAGTATGTGATTGAGGTAGAGAGAAGTGTAAAAAGTGGGCACATACAATACTTTGTAGGTAAGAAATATCTGAATTGGGCTTTCTGCTAAGGCCTGGTTTAAGTTAAGTTATCCTTTATTGATCCCCGTAGGGAAATTCGTTCTCTGCAACCCATCCTAAGCGCTAGGAGCAATGGACAGCCACTGTGTAGCGTCCGAGGACTGACAGGAGAATTAGCTTAACATACATGTTTTGGATGGCGGGGGAAACTGGAGCACATGGAGGAAACAAAAAAAATGTAAACTCCACACAGAAAGGCCCTTCCCCAGCCGGGATACAAACCCAGCAGCTCACCTGCATGCGAAAATATTAGCAATTAGCAATTATGTGGCCAGATGGAAATTTTAACATATCGCCCAACTCTAGTGGAAGACAGAGAGAAATAAAAACCACTGGAGATACACTCAGACATAAAGGTGACATCACTCTGCTGTTCGTTCCTCCCTGACATCTTGAGTGATTATCCCTCTCAATCTTTAAACAGAGATGTCTGACTAGCATGCATGTTAATGAACAGATACATTTCCTACTACTTTCATCTTCATCACTATTTAAACACAAACTATGGATTACATGATTCTTAAGACATAATATGCTTCTTGCTTGATATGCAGCTTGACTTTTTTTTTCCCTCTCCGTGTGACAGAAGAACACGTTTCAAAATGTCTGAAATGAAAGGAGACAACATTAGAAGGAAGCAGGAACAACAGGGTTGTGAGCCTGCTTTTAGAGATTGTCATATTTGATCAGTTTATCAGTGGGATTATTTGATTGCTGTGAAATCTTACTTGAACTGAAGATGGTGTTTTATTCATGAATGCAGAGCAGTGCTGTAAAAGAATGAGAAACCTACTGACACACAGTCGGGTGCCGTGCCTCTAAAACCCTTCTAATACTCCCGGAGCAAATGCTCATGGTGTTTTGTAGTTAAAGTGTTAAGTTTGTGAGTTTAGACTTCAATGCTGTGACCCAGGCTACACTGGCGTGCTACTTTTTGTCCCTCATCACATTGCCTGCCCCTCAGAGCCGCTCTTCCAGGGTCACTGGAGGATAGCAGCCCGATTCCGCCATCCCATCATAAGTGGAGGAGGACCAAAAACTCTGAAAAGCTTTTAAGTAGGCGAGCAGACAATAATGATAACAAGGCTATCAAGAGAGAAGGAGGCCAGGTCGGTGGGGAAACAGGAGGAGAGCGAGAGGGATGGAGTTAGGCATTAAGAAGTGAAACAGTGACAGAGGGAGGCAGTGAGGAAGGCGCTTTACGGACTCGTCTGCAACTGCTGTGTGTGTTGGGACGTGCAATTGAGGAAAAGAAGGAAGCATTCCCAGGGTATCTAGAGCTTTTAGGCAGTATGTGTGAGGAGGCGGTGGTGGGCGTCACCTTTGGGAGTGGTCGGTGTAGCAAGGGGAAGAATAAAACAGAGGAGAGAATGAGTGAGAGCACTGAGCAAAGTTGAGTGAAGTGGCACAGTGTTGGTCTAATTGCCTGATTGTACTAAAGCCATTCTGCCGCTTGGTGACTCTGTGTGTGTGTGTGTGTGTGTGTGTGTGTGTGTGTGTGTGTGTGTGTGTGTGTGTGTGTGTGTGTGTGTGTGTGTGTGTGTGTGTGTGTGTGTGTGTGTGTGTGTGTGTGTGTGTGTGTGTGTGTGTGTGTGTGTGTGTGTGTGTGTGTGCGCGCCAGCCACTCTCTTTTAATCTGTACGAGGTGGAGAAGGAGTGAAACACGTTAGTTTACGACTGGCTAGTAATCGGACCTCATTGCTGCTCAGCCAGGAGAACTCACTCAGAGCACAGCAGCGTTAATGCATCCCCTGCACACTCTCAGACACACACACACGTCCAATACACAGGCAAGCACACACACTGTATATTGTATGTATGCCTGCATGTTTTTATCATAAATAGTCATGCATAGGTTAAATGTTCAGCAACAGAAGGTTTTTTGTGGATGTATTTCTAAATTCTTAGCCCACATGTGTGTATCATATTATTCGGGTCTAGTACTCTAAAAAGCAGCCATTACAGTTGCAATGGTTTATCATATTGCTGTATATGTCAGTAAAGTAATTAAAGAATGCCAAAAATGGTTTGAGGTGCCACCTTAACATGATTTGTCCATGACTAGTATCAGTAAATGTCCTGCACAGTACAATTCTTTAAAAACAATTTTAAAGGATCCTTTAAAGGCAAAATGAATATCAAACGATTTATCTGCTTCACTCCTGGTCAGGAATAAAGTTAGTCTATAAGTATATTTCCATCAGCTTTATTTGTTTGTTTTAACCTTTCTATGAGTGCTACCTATTTTCAGGTTGATTAATACTCACTGGAAAAAGTGGTCTCTGTTGCCTCTTGACTATCCTCTTTTACTTTATGTCTCTGGGTAATTGATTAAGGTCTTAAAGCTGAGCAGGCGACGGTCGAGCAGTGAACTGCTCGGGCTTATATTTCCACCAAGCACTAGATATGGCCTTCAATGATGACTAAGTGATGATAATTATGCTTTCTGGTGTGAACAGTGCTGTACACTTAAATTCATAAAGAAAAGAGTAGTTATCCATAATTAACCTTTAACCCGAGTGTGGGCATGCGGGTGTTTTATATACTGTACGTATGTGAAGAGCACAGGTTGGAGAGTCTTCTTGACTTCAGAAGAAAGAGAAAATAATGCAGTCCCTCCTCCCTCATATTATCTCTCACACGTTTCATTCGTCTCTTTCTTGTCTCTCTTGTCTCACTGTAGCGCTTGCCCGCCTTGGCTGAACAGAAGGAGGCGCTGTTGTTCTACGTGAATCGACAGTCTCAGACTCCTGGACAGGTAAAATTACGCGAGGGTTCTTCTCTTTAGGATCTACATTTTTAAAGAATAATTGAGATTTTTTTTTTTTACAACTTGAGTTCTCATTGTGTCCTTTCAGTAATAAATGATAAAATCCATGTGAGAACACTTATATGGGGAGTTCTGACTGCAGTAAAATAAATAAATATGAATACATTTCTTTTATTTTGGTATTCTGGCAAGCACATAAGTGAAGCCCAGGATATATTATGATGTTATAGCAAAAACTTCTGGCAACATGGCAACAAAACTCTATATTCATGTCATATTTGTAATTGTTTACACGTCCAAAACCAGACAAACACACACTCACAAAGATGTTGTTCTCGTATGTAAATGAATGTTTGTGTGCACAGTTGGAAAAGATCAAGACTGCGTTGAGCCTGTTTCCAGACGTTAAGAAGGAAGTGCAGTACCAATACCTGCTTAAATGTCATGGTAGGACACACACACAGACACACACAGACACACACACACAGACACACACACACACACAGACACACACAGACACACACACACATATACTTGCACAAGGCCTGGGAGCAGCTAGCGTTGCAGCAGGCGGCTCGCTGGCCTGTGGCTAAGTCAACATTAGCAGACACATTAACAATGCATCAGGTCAAGGAGTGTGTGTGTGTGTGTGTGTATTCAGGGGTTAGAAGAACTCATGTCCTCTAATGAGGTAGCTGTTCGGGCTAGCCTAGCGTGCTAATTGTAACACGGTCAACCACTCAACTTTTCTTTTTTTACTTCCTACATTTCTCTCTCTCTCCCCCCCATCACTTCTCGCCTTTCTTCTACCTACATCCTCTCCTCATGTCCTCCCTTTTTACTTCACCTTCTCGCCCTCCTGTCTCCCCTCTTCCGTACCTTGTCACACCAGAGATGAGCAGACATGACTATTTAATTAGCATTAGCTAGCTGGTCGGTCAAGGCAGCCATAGGGGACACAATTAGCGATGCTCTGCTCGCCTCTGTTCTCTGCCCCGTCTTTGTACTTTTTCTTTTTTCTCTGAGAGGGGTTTTCTTCTCTCTTGGCTCTTGAACTTGCTCTTTTCTTTTTTATGACAGTAGTGGCTCTACTTCCCCTACTCTCTCTCTTTTGATACACACAACCACACACACACACACTCATGCGTACAGATGATTACTCCCACACCAGCGTAACATCTGCCTGAAGAGGGAGGTAGTGTAGAGAAAGTTACTGATTTCAGTTCAATAAATTTGTGATATGATTTTTGAATGTGTATAAAAAAGTATTTCAAGTTATTTTCAAAGATGTGAAAGTCAAATATTGTTTTTTAATGTCTACAATAAAATAAGAATTATTGCTGACTTTTTCTCTTGCTCCCCATCTCGTCTGACAGCTGTGGATGGGGACTTCTCTTCGGCCAAGGCTCTGTATGAGCAGATTCAGAAGGAGGGGGTAACCATAGACGAGCTGTCACTCAAACGGCTGGCCCTACTTTACCGCAATGCAGGAGAGACGGTGCCCTTCACTGAGCCCCCTGTGAGTCTCTCTCTCTCTCTCCACACACACACACACACACACACACACACACACACACACACACACACACACACACACGTTTGGCTTTGGATGTTTGGCAGAATATATTTGAATGTACAGTGTTTGGGAAATGTTAAGTAACTTCTTAATAAAACAGTGTATATAATAAATAAATAAATGTTTGTCCGTTTAAAGGACCGGTGTTTAGGATTAAGTGGCATCTAGCAGTTTTAGTTACAGATTACAACTCCCTAGCTCCCCCCTTCCCTTCTGAGAAACTACGTCATGGATAACTCTAATGATTATTTTCATTATCAATTAATCTGCGTATAATTATTATTTTTTAATTAATCCATGAATCGTCTGGTCTTTTAAAATGCCAGAAAACAGGGAAAAATGCTTCCTGAAGTCAAAGGCGGTAAATGGCCAATTTTTGTGAGACTTTAAATTTACTATCAAATAAGACTTAGGAAATCAACAGATCAAAGGTTCAGTTGATTATTAAAATATTTTCCAATTATTTTTGTCAATTGACTCATCATTAAATAATAATTGTTGCAGCTTTAGTTGAAATCCATATCGAATTAATACTCTGATGTATTGAGAAATGTCACAATATTGCACATTTATTTGTATTCAATGCTCCACTGTTGGAGCACACTGTAAATTTGATAAATAAAAGAAAAACACACTAAACTACAGTAACTCTAATAATTTTAGACCTTAGAATTGTGTAAAATGGTAACATGTCGCGATCGTGTTATTATGATATATTTAATGATACAATTCAATAATCTCCTAACCCTACGTTACACTAGCGCACAGTGGATTACACACACCAATCCATATTGATACAACCATGCAGACAAGACGTGAACTAGAAACAGATCTGTGTACAAATGCAACAACAGGCACACATTGCAACTCCTAACTAGTGCTGGCAGTTGTCCGGCTGGTGTCCTAATGCGTGCCATTGTGTTCGTGTGCTGCGGCCCATGTGTGCCATAATAATGTGACAGAGCAGCCGGCCTGCTCAGGGTAGTTCAATATACACAGGCCTGCAGCGAGTGTGTGTGTGTGTGTGTGTGTGTGTGTGTGTGTGTGTGTGTGTGTGTGTGTGTGTGTGTGTGTGTGTGTGTGCCCCACAGTCACAGAGTACATAGATTGTGTAAGGGAGATGGTGTCACTGCAATAGCGGCTCTCTTTTTCTAGCTCCTAGTGCTTTTGAGCATTTCAGCACATTGCACATTCTGTAAGTCGATGTAGCCCTATTTTTGGCAGACGACTCACACACACACACAGAGCCCCTGAACTTTAATGTGCTGTCCCCTCGAGGCAGGTGTAGAATGAAGCCCACCTCTTACTTTCCCATCACTCACCTGCAGTGCAAAGATAGAAGGAGAAAGAGGGATGAAGGTAGAGAAGCTGCTGCATTATTCACTCAGTGTCAGGATAGTTAAGTGATGGCTGGGTTTTATAAGCAAAGGAGCACCAGAAGAGTTGCAAGGAGAGGAAAGGTGAATAGTCCTGGTATTCAGAAGTCTCAACAAACAGTAGAAACCTTCCTCACTGTCTGTATGGAGGTTGCTGCTCCACTGATGAAAACCCGCAGCGGCATGTCTCCCCAGAAACATGCAAACACAGTTATCCTTTAAGAGACATGTACGAGTGATTTCAAAGACCAGTTCTGGGCTACTGTAGAAACATGGCAGTTCAGTTTTTGTGAAAGAAGGCCTGCTCCATCTGTAGATAAAAACTATTATTTTCAGGTAATTATAAACTAATAAAAACATTGTTCTGAATATTATAATCGATTTCTGCCAGTAACTCCTCACTGAACCAATTTTTACCTATTTAGAATTTTCTCTTTGGTACAAATGAAGTGTACAAGTACCACACCAGTTTGATTATAAAGTAAATACATCGTGGCAGCCCAGATTCGACAGTGGGAATTTTAAAAAACATTTTACTCCTCGTCTTCATACTGGTCGTTGTCCATGTGACGATCCTCGGTTCCCACCTGACAGTAGCCTGTAGCCTAATGGTACTGTAGATGTTATTTATCACAGTCACTGTCACGTCCCTTTGACTGCCTCCAATTTCTAAATCATTAAATCAAACTGAAAAGATGTTGTTTTTACTTCACATCAAACCCTAGTTTCTTCATTTTTGCCTATGTGATGACAGCTCTGACAGCCGTAATATTTCTTTTGGGTCCCCCTAATACGACTACTCACATTGCTAAATGTATTATTTGATCAGCTGCTGATTTCCAGCAGCAGGACCTGAAGTTCTCCTTTATATACTTGAGTAACATTTTTGTGAATGAAAACTTGGCCTCATATGGAGCGGAACAAGTAGCTTTATATAGAGTCGGTTTATGCTAATGAGCACATCTCACGAATACAGACCTCACGAACAGGAGGCATTCATCAAGTTGAAACGAGCAATTTATGTCAGGTTTGTGCAGGAGTTTGCTGAATTTGACTTTGAAAACTCAAACCTTGCAGAAAAAAAGTATGAGATTTATTATAAGAATATAAAAACGCTCTCATGATGATACCCAGTGTGGCCATTACTCTGGAATATCCACAGAAGGGACTATTTCCTAAATTGAATAATAGTTCCAGTGTTTACAGTGAGTTGGGTGGATTATCCAGAATATCAGGGACGCTGTTTCTGGAAAGAAATGTTCTTGTTGTATTTTCTAAAATTTCAATTTGCTTTGAGCACCAATAAATGAAATTTCATTCAGGTCCACAGTTTGTTGTGGCAGACCATAATCTCACAGATATCACAGAACCTGCACAAATAAAACCAAATCTAAAAATTATCTAAAAAAAAAAAGTTTTTGTAATTAGGGTTAACTGACTCTTTGAAAGTGTTTCAGATGTCTCTCTCTCTCTCTCTCTCCTTCCATACCGAACAAACCTATTTATCAGCATTAATAAGCAAACGTACAATGTAAGAAGCCGGCGTAATTTGCAGGAAAGCTCTCACCTTCTCTCCAAAAAAAAATAAAATACACCCACAACAACACTCTGTCTGGATCAAAACGCTGATTAATTAGCCGGGAACAGAGGCAGAGAGCGAAAGTGTGTGTGTCTGGGGAGCGTGCTACAAATCCCTTATTTGTGTATTAATGGGGATTTAAAGATGAAACAAGACAACCTGGTTGGAGAGCGGAGACTATTTAGACAGACCCAGGAGGGCTCCCCTGCTGCTTACTTTTGGAGAGAGGCGAGATAGAAACACACACACACACACACACACACACACACACACACACACACACACACACACACACACACACACACACACACACACACACACACACACACACACCTTACAGCCTCGCTATATGGCAGGTGAACATTTATGCTGTGTGTTTGATGTTAAATCGTCTTTCTTTCTTTTTTTTCCAGAATACCTTTAGGTTTTACTCAGAGAAACTGAAAGCCCAAGCAGGCCAGGAGTAAGGATTCATCAGAGCCAAGGAATAAAGATTTCTTCTCCTCCTCAACTTTCATCCATGGAAATCCCTGTTTTGTCATCCTTTACTTTTTATATCTGTTGTTCAAGTGGAATTGTTGGGTATTGTGTCATTAAACGTCCTCTGTGCTATTGATTATGTTGATGATGAAGACTATATTCTGTGTGTACAGAAGTATTTATGCTAATAAATGATGTTAGGAATCCACATTCTGTGTCTGGCTCTTTGTGTACTTTGAAATGTGTGTATTTAGTGGTACAATTAACCTTTTTTTTTTTTTTCAAGGCAGCAGGTAAAGCACAAGTGGAGCTAATTACATTAACAATGGCTCAGTTCCATTGAGGTGTCCCAGTCAGTCTGTATGCACAATACCGGGGCCCTGATACACTGTAACTACATTAACTCGTTTATTTGTATTTGCATGTGTATTTAAATTATACACACAAAACTTATCAACATTTTGAAATATGATCCATTTTTACAGTAGTTTACCCAAAAGTATAATAATAAATTTATTTGATTAACAATACTTGTCCTTTTACTTAAGTAAGATTTTAAATGCAATACTTCTACTTGAGTATTTTTTCCATTTTACTAAGTTAACTAATTAAATATTTCAGCAAAAGTACTTGGTGAGGGGTAGAAAAACACTTTTTTCACCCTTACTTTGTGCGTTACATCGTAATAGAATAATTAACATTAAAGAAACTCAAACATAAGTTGTTGTTTTTTTCATATGTATAAATACCTTTTTCATTATACTTTTAGTATATAGTGTGGATGTGGGACTCCACTATTGTCTGCAGTTAAAATGTTCCGTATCAGGATCATAAACTCTCCACTTTAGATTAGATGTGAATTAGCTGCTCTGAAAATGTCTCCATGTGTTTGTTTTACAGTAAAATGTTTTCATACAAAGAAATTATGCCAATATGCTTTGCATCAATTTGATTTAGCATTGATTTCACCATGAAAGACACATGCAGCCTCTTCTCTCCTCCGTCCCCTGACCTGCATCTGCACTCTTCCTCTGCTTGACTTTGAACTCTCTTTGGTCTCCAATACAGGCCTCAGATAGTCCTCTTTCATGTAACACAAGCTGTTCTTGACCCCGACTGAGGCAGGCTTAAGATAACACACACACACTGGTTGTGTGTTAGTTGACGTTAGAGGGTCAGACTGGGCAGTGAATCTTATTTGGGAAACAAATTAAGACACAGGCGAAGTAGAACATGGTCAACTGGAGCTTTTGTTGTGAACCAGGGACTTGTTTTTTTTAAAACCCATAATACGTTTTTAGCAACTTTACTGCTTATCATTATGATGTTACATGCAATTGGTATTATCTTAATGATTGCACATAAAAAAAAACATTTCTAAAGGTTTTGTGTGGTGTTGAAATAACAAGAATGTGAAGGATTACCACTGAAAATAATCAGTAACATTCATTGTTATGAAACTAAAGAGCTACAAATGACAACCCCATGTAACTGAGTGACAATGCCAGAGGAGAGCAGAGAGTATGACGACAGAAATAAACACACTCAAGTGGAGCAATTTGATTTAATACTTTACTAATTTGGACTCGAACCATGTCTGCAAAATATTTATCAGGCTTTTGCACCAGTGCAAAAACACACAGCTTACATAATCTTCAATCTATGAGGACACAAGTATAAGCTCTTTTTTTTCTGAGTGTGACTTACTAAATCTCTACTCTACTTTTTTTTCAGTGCTCCCTATACTGGCACACACATTGTTAAGCTTAATAACCTTACATATACAAAAAAGATAAAGCTGTAGAAAAAAAGAAGATTGAAAATGGAACAAGCAAAAGCTGCAGATGGATATCTGCCAAAGTGGCGCTCTAATCATTTGCCAAGACAGAGAAGCGAGGGAGAGGGAAAGAAAATGCCATAATTTTAACTTTGATGATACTGCAGTGCTCTGCTGCCATCCAGCAGCAGACAGTAGTACTGCAACACAAAGTAAGTACAACTTTTTTCTTACCCGAATTCTAATTATTTAAACTGTTAAGGCTGGGTATATGTTAAACTTGTTTTGACTATTCCTGCACTTTTGTCAAAAAGGGTGACTTTTTATACCCTACTGAGGTGCCAGCGAGATCATTTCAAGTGTTTCTGCCTTTAAAAAGAGTGCAGGAGTTTCTGATGTTGAAATTATTATAAAATTGTAAACTTAATCTAAGCATCTTTTCACTGTAAAGCATGACGATGGAAAGCCTTGGCTCAGTGTCGAACCAGTCGAACTAGAAGCTTACTTCTTTCCACTGCTCCCAAAAAAACAAACCAAAAACACTAAAGTAAAACCTTGCTCCTGATGTGTGTTATTTCAGACAGTGTTTGGTCTGATTGTTGGTCCAGATGTGTTCACCAGTCTTGACTTGACTTCTGTTTGATGAATTTTAGAGACAAATAATAGAGCGCCATGAAGACCAGACAGACTGCCAGCAGGACCAGATAGCATGAGTACAGAGGGTACTGGTTCATCTTCATGGCCTCCACCACCTGAAAGACAATCACCCAATATTATCATTTTCAACGTTTATGCTAATTCTCAGGACTGTACAACCAGAACTCTGATTGATTGATTGATGCCTCGACTCAGTGGCCCTCAGCCTCATAGTGTGAATGATACCATTCAGAAAACGACCAATGTGGAAATGTTTGATTAACACCCATGCACGTGTTTGTATTTGTGTTTCTTTCTAACTCACGTGTATGCCATCAACATTGAAGGTGAGGTTTGATATGGTGATGGGGTACTTGTTGCCTCTGAACTGCACCTGCAGCATGCCCTCAAATCCCCAACGCATGAAGGAGATGTGAGAGAACCATGATGCCACTGGGGAGTCAAAGACATGCACAGGTATAAACATCAAACCCTAGGATAGACTCGCACATATTCTTCAGGGTGCAAACACGTCTCTAACTACAGACAAATAAGCAATCTCCTCACCAAGCCACATATTCTCCAGGCTGATGACGAAACCTCCAGTCAAATAGAAGACGGTGAACAAGGAGTTGCCCATGAAGGCCGAGGTCTGCAGGGTGGGCAGCGCAGCAGCGACAAACAGAGCCATGGCTCGGCTGCAGTAAACCATCAGCCACACCAGCAGGAAGTTGAGCAGGAAACGCTCCGGAGCCTCGTTAAGCCCGGCCAGCCAATAGATGGGCAGGCCGTAGACCAACGTGAACACACAGTGCTCTGGTAACTCCCCCAGGACCTGAATGTGGAGAAAGCACACATTCAAATATACAGAACAAACAGAAGTGCAGAAACACACACACACACACACACACACACACATTCAGTGTTGATGTTTTATACACACAGTACATCATATTTCCCTCTGCTTTCCAACAGCACATTACAGTACATGACACTGATGTGTAACTCCAGCATGAAGCAAGACTGACCCCTACTGGAGACGCAGGAGGCTTACCTTGGCAAAGAAGTAGGAGGTGACGGAGAACATGCCGTCCTCCAGCTCGTGGTAGAGCATGGCTCTCTCTGTGTGACCTGCAGGGAACATTAAGTTAGTCTGATGAGGTACTGCATTACAGCCTCTGGTACCAGACTGCCTTAAAGATTGTAACTGTTCTTCAGTTTGTTGTGTGTTGTTACACAACACAGTAACAAATGTCACAAGTTATAGAGGCTCACCAGCTACATAAATGTAATATTTGTATTGTGTGTATCGAAGTTCCAATGGTTTCTTCAGAGAGGTTCTTTATTCCTTGTGATATGCAGGCGGTGTTCAAGTACTCTGAGTCGTAAGTGAACATATTGAACTGAATTAATAGTTTTTTTATATTGTTGTTACCTGAACTTGACTCTTAATAGTCTTGCTATCTCTGTAATTGTTCTGAGTCATCTTACATCTTGATGCAACATATGTTGTACAACTGCAAATGCAATGATACACTGATGTTTTATTTATTGTTTATTTCCAGAGATTTCTTTGTTTTGCTTGTTTTTATTTTTGTTCATTTTTCTCTGTTTGTCTCTATGCAATATGTTGAAACAACATTGAAACAAAAACATTGAAACAAAAACATTGAAACAAAAACCACATTTAACAGAGCAAAAAAAGTTAACACAAGTGCAGACAGCTAAGTGTAGTTTTCAGCTGGGAGTCTTCTGCTCACAATACTATACTGTACAATTGCTGTGAAGTCACATGTAAAGGGACGCACCAGGTTGTTTACGTGGTGGTTACAGAAAAAAAGAAGCATAGGGTATGAAAGCAGCTGTGATGTAGGCGTGTGTGAATAAGAGATGTGAAAATCTTTAATAGTGGGTGAGATGGGGGTAGAAACTTGGTGTAAATAATCAGTAAACAGACAGATTTTGTTTATTTTTGTAACTGCAGGTTAGAACTTATTATTTGATACTCTGTTGAAAGAAGAGCTGTCTGTTGCAGTATTTTCGTTTTAGACGCCTTTTGGAGGACTACATCATTTTAAACCAAGACAAAGAGAATGTTAACATGTCTCAGTTTTATATGCGTAGATGCTAAGACTGAAGATCGGCTTTGACTGCAGTTTAAGCCACTTTATTACCTCCCATCCTCCTTAACAGCAGTCATAACTCACATTTAGCTATGACGTCCAGCACCACAGCGAATGGGGTGAGAGCTCCGATCATGTAGAGGAGGGCCACTGTGTCCTGAATGGACAGACGCTCTTCTCCCGCCCCGTAGTAGAGACAACCGACCAGCAGTGACATGAGGAGGGCCTCAAAGCCGTGGACCAATAAGGTGACCAGGTCTCTGAAGTCATTATACATGTGACGCCTGAGGGGGAAGAAGGGAGGAGAGGTCATCAATAACAATAACAATAACAAGAAACTACTGTCGATGATGACTAAAATTAAAAATAAAATAAAAAACAGAGAAAAGAGATAACTCTAAAAAAGAATTACTGTCTCTAAAAATATCAACAATATCTGCTTTTATACAATTGACAGTTTTAAATACCATCCATACCATTTTCATTTTCATTTCAGGTGGTGTCGATGAAGGGGTACTAACAGGGTTGTGGGGGTACAGCAGACAAAAATAGTTGTGTGTTCTTACCTGATGAGGATTGTAAATTGGTGTAGTCTCCCAGGCAGTCTGTCTCTTTGTCTGGAAATAGTGATTACTTCCTCTTCTTTTACCGTGCTCAGCTGCTGAGGGCTGC